GCAAATTTTATTTTCCAGTGCACATAAAAGTGATTTTAAATTATACTATTATCTATTAAGTATGCAATAGCATTATGTTTATATATATAAATTTATATACACCAGAAACTAACACCACTGTATACCTGAAACTAACACAACATTGTAAATCAACTATATTTCAATTTTTAAAAATCATAGTTTTTTTAAAAACGACAATTACATGAACACTGGAGTTCTGATCTGACTGAATAAACAAGATCAATTCCCTGGGTTGAAGATAAAAAGTAAGAAAATATTCAGATATCCTCTGTAGACAAAAGTTACAAATTAAATCACTTAAAGCAATAACTTTCCAGTAGAGAAGCCCTAAGGAGATGATGTGGAGCCCAGGAGAACTGGGCCCAGCCAGACCCAAGGTAATTACTGATCATTTGTCTTTAACAATGCCCACTGGGTACTACTCTCTGGAGGCCAAGAGTAGCTCAGCAGATAATCTGAATGTGAGGCCCACACACCTCTTTGAAGCCCAAGAATCAGGGAATGAAGCCTCCTTACTCACCGTGCCTTCCAGGCACAGATGTACTCCTCACACTGCTTTCCATGGGGCTCAAGGTTGTGTCTCTGGCTTCCGGTTGCTTCTGAGCTGTCTGTCCCTCCTTAGGGAAGAGCGACAAGTCAGAAAGAGGCACATTCCTCAGGCTGGGTTGGCAGAAGTCAGAAAAACTGGACAGGTCAGTGCCAATGTGGGCACAAGAGGAGACACTCCTCTCTCAATGCTCCAAAATGTGCAAGCCCAAAGACATCGCCTCCACTTCTCAAAGATAAGCAGGACAGGAGACCTGTAAGATGCCTTGGAAACCATCTAGGAATCCAACCCCATCACTTTACAGAGAAGCAATCAGAGTACAGAATTTCTAAAACCACACAGGATTCGATTCCTAGACAACCTCACTCAGCCCCTGCCCTGATTCCCTATTGTGGAGTCCTGTCTATTAATTCTATCTGTTTCTAATGCTTATCCTTGACAGAGACATCTGAAAACATTTGCTGGCATTAAGACAGGCTCAGGAGCAAAGCAGGTGTCTGCCCACAATGACCTATTTCACATCACATTGAATGTAAGCAACTTAGCAAGGAAGAAACTAGTAGAAATTATACCTCAAACCATTCCTACAACCCTCTAAATTAACATCTTATTTTTGCTGGCAGATGTACAAATATTCTGACATAGACGTTATCTGCAGGTACACGCTATCTTATGTTCTGCTTTCAAAGTCTGTATCATAGACAAATAATATCCAGAAATGAACACATGCTTTCACTTTTAATATCTGTATAATATCCCACTGCACTGATAAATCATAGCTGCAAAGCTATTCTCTTATTGAGTATTTGATTGTCTCAAACTTTTTTTTAAATATAGGAATGTTTCAACAAATATCTGAACAAATCACCTTCTTTTTCCATAGGATTTGTTTCCTGCTATATAGTTCCAAATGTAAAATGCCTATGTTTACTACATTTACTTAAGTTTCTGTAAACCTCTGTAAGTCAGATAATAATACCAATCTATAATTTGGGGTAGAATTTAAAAGCTAAAATTTAAGTAGTTACTACAGTGCATGCTCTATAGAATATATTTATTATTAATTTATTACTAATAATAACATCTCTATATACTTACTTGGAAAGCATGATCACCTAAATATACCTAAACCTTTCCATTAAAATCTATTTGTATCATATATATATCTTTACTTTATCCATTACAATTTTCTTTGAGCAAATATTTTATTTTTCAAGTTGAATTAAAAACCCAAAATATCAATTTTATCATTGGTGGGAATGAAATCACCTTTTTCATTGCTTTTTTTGTGGTTTATTTTTAGCAATGACTTAAGACTTTAGGTATGAGATATTATGCAAAAAAGTTATGTTTTTATCTCTTTTTCTTCTTCTAGGATAACCAATACCAGCATTTCTAGTGAAATATTACATAAGGAATGATAACAGAGAAATTCATATCTTGTTCTTTTGAGGGAAAAGGTTTAAGTCTTCCATAAACAAGATGTTGAATACATAGTTTACATATTAAGACAAACACTCCTAATGTTTTCAGAGCTTTAATCTATTAAGCAATGATAAGTTTATCTAGATACTTTATCCAAGTCTAATTACATTATTTTGATATTTGGTTCATGATGAATTAGGTTAATGGATTTCCTTGAGTTTAACAGTTAACTCAATGTGTCATTTTCTTAATTCACAGATATTTTATTTGGGGTATGTATATCTATATCTATGAAGAAAACTGGTCTAAAATATTTCTTTCATTGTCATTGTTCAGTCTGAATTTAAAATACTTGCCTCTAAAAGTGAACTGAATAATAGTAACAACAATAATAGTAATAGCCAGGTTAATTGCTTACTATGTACAATGCACTATTCTCTACAAATTATAGGTATTCTCTCATTTAATCCTCACAATAACCTCTTTTAGCAAATATTTCAAATTAACATGCTATGATTTTCTCTATTTTTAAATTTTTTATTACTGAATTAATTATTAGTTCTTAGAAGATTTTGAAGACATTGGAATCAGATGCCCCCTTAGAAACTATTTAATAACTTTATGTTTCTTTCTCTATTGGCTTCATATTCATATTCTCTAATTCATTTTGCATCTTTGGGGATATTTCAAACATATGTAAGTAGTCATCTATGGTTTTATTTGACAAGATGTATTAGCCCACAGTTGAAAAGGACGTGGCAAGGACTTTTGAGTTTTAAATGAGATGAGGAGCCACTGGAGGACTTTGAGCAGAGGCGTAACATCTGACTTATATTTCTTACCATTCACCCTGGATGCCACGTAGAAACAGACAGCTGAGGATAGGATGAGGATAGAAACAGTGAGCCTGGTTAAGAAACTACTGAATAACCTGGATTGAAAAAAAAGTTTGCTTGGGCCACAAAGGCAGCAGTGGTCACAGAGAAAAAGTGGTCCCATCTGGTTACAGCTCAAAGGTAGAGATGACAATATATTGGTGAGGACAGTAATTGATTATTCAATAAGAGGAGTTAAGGGTGGTATTAATGTTTTGGCTTGAGCAGTTAGAAGAATAAGATGGGACTGAGGAAGCAGCAGTTTTGAGGAAACGATCAGCAACATGGTTTTAGACAAGTCAAGTCTAAGACACCTGTCAGACCTAAATGTATATGGAATGCAAGAAGTTGAGCCTAAGTAAGTTCAAAGTTCAAGGGGAAAATCCCAAACTGGAGAGAGAAGTCTGGCTGGTATGTAAAGCTGTGGGGCTAATGAGACTCCAGGTAGAATGAGGCCACCTACAGAACAAGTGTAAACAGAGGAGAGGTGGGGCTGGAGCTGCTGAAGGGACATCCACACAGCTGGAGGTCAGAGGAGGAGGAGCAAGTGAGTAGCCAGTGAGGGAGGCGATGCCCAGATGAAACTGCTTCAAAAGCCAAGTGAAAAATGTGCTTTCCAAAGGAGGAAGTGACCAACAGTGCCAGCTCCAGCTTGTTGGGTCTCAGGAGATGGAGCCTGAGCGCTAACCGCAGATGGAGCAATGGCAGCCTTGACAAGGGACACTTCAGAGACTGGTGGAGAGGCCTGGAAAGGGGGCTTTGTGAGAGAATGGGAAGGGGGATCTGGAGAACATTTTGAGAACTTTTGTGGAAAAGGAAGGACAGAGAAATGAGTTGACAGCTGGTGGGGAATGTGAGGACAAGTGTGGATTTTTCAAACTGGGGGATGTCTGCAGAAATGGTTCAGAAGCAATGAGGGGATGGGGGGAATCTTTTCTGTTTTGAGCTAGACTTTTTGAGTTTTGGTATCCTTAAAATGACTTCCCTGGTGGTTCAGTGGTAAAGAACCCGCCTGCCAATGCAGGGGATGCAGGTTCGGTCCCCGGGTTGGGAAGATCCCCTGGAGAAGGAAATGGCAACCCATTCCGGTAGTCTTGCCTGGAAAAATCTCATGGACTGAGGAGTCTAGCGGGCCACAATCCACAGGGTCGCAGAAGAGTCAGACACACTTAGTGACTCAACAGCAAAAACAATTCTTAAAATAGGAGTACTTGGGAAGACTATGTTCCTAACCAGTGGGAAATAGTAACAGGAAAATGTTCTTCTCCCATATCTCTGGGGAAGTGGGAGGATGAGAAGGAAAGACAGGATGGAGACTCCTTGGTTTGAAAAGAACGTTAGTCAACAAAGGACAGAGCTTTGGTCGCTGCGCCACAGCTCCCGTTCACACTCGAGTGTGTCTCAGCATCTCTGCTGCAGCTGCACGAACAAGCCGTCTCTTCCCAGCACAGACAACCTTCTTTACCATGTCCCTGTTCTATCCATCCTGCCCTACACTCCCTTCTCCTGTCCCCAGGCTGGTCACCGCAGGATTCCCTGATCCACTGACAAGAATGCCCCAAGTTTAAGTTTACCCGGTAGCACTTCTTCAGTCTTTTTGAGAAAATCAAAACACTGCTTTGAAATTAGACTGACCTGGAATCAAATCCTGATGTCTTTGGGGGAAATTATTCAAACCCTCTCAGTCTCAGCTTACTCATCTGTAAAATAAGAATAATAATGCCTACTTTATACACATTGTGAGGATTAAATACATGCACCCACACACCCATGCCTAGCCCTGTAGGTGCTGAAAAACGTCAGCTCCCTAGTCTAAGGGCTGTCACCTTACCGTTTGACTAGAAGCTTCTTGGGAGCAAGAACAAAGTCCTTTTTTTTTCAATGTTCACTGTTTTCTCATCGCTCACATCACCCAGTAAAGAGCTGTTTTAATCAGCACTGGTCAAATGAGGATCTAGACCATATTAAATACATGCTTCCTTTCATTTTTACTTTTCACTGAACAGATTTCTTTTCTCTTAGCCTCTTAGGCTTCTATCTTATGGCTGTCCTTTACCAAAGATTCTTGCCTGTGGGTTGTCAAATACTTGAATCATTTAAAAAAAAAAAAAGCATCAGTAAAATATTACTTCCAAAGGAGCCATTTCTTTTCTATACTAAAGCATAACTCTCAACACAGACCAAGAGTCTGTGGGCTGGGTCCTGCACGAGCTGAAATCTCCATCCTCACTGGATACTGCCCAGTGGAGCAGGGAAGCCACTTTGCTCCAACAAAATGGTGGCACAGAAAAAGCCTCCCAAGACCATGAGCCCCTTTTCGCTCCCTGCCCAGGTCCCAGGTGGGCCATACCCATTCCCATAGCTTTTCCAGACTGATTTCCCCTGTCAGCTATTCATCCCCAAGCAGCGCAGTAACTCCAATTGCTTCTTTCTCACCCTCCCTCTTCATGCCGTACCTTCTATAGGACGCAAATCCCACCTGTGTCTTGTGAAGCACTGAAAATTCATTTGTAACTAATGAAACTTCAGCTATGTTTGCAATGAACTCCAACTCTGAGTTGCTGCCCTGCTGCCCATTCTTTTACTTTGGGCAACGTCACACTCGCAGTTCCTCTTTGTTTTCAGCAGGGGCGGCTCTCACCCTCCAGAGGCAAGGCCCTTCCTGGGTCAGCCCTGATGGAAGGGCGGGCTGAGCTGTCCCAGTCAGCAGGCTCTTCCATCCAGGTGTGCCCTGGCCAACTCCATCCCCAGCATCATCACCAGGAGCAAGGTGGTCCAGAGCCAGTGATGAGTGGCAGCCAGGGCACCTGAGTCCTGGGCTCCCCGTGGGTGGGGGAGCAAGGGGAGACAAACTACTGGCGGGGAAGAACGTTTGTGGAGAAGGAGGATGTTTACAAATATTATCCTGCAGTTCCATGTATGTGCCATTGTGGTCCTAGAATTCTGTACAGAAAGGGCCTTCAGGTGGCAATCCTATTGGGATTAAGAGGAAATTACATTCCTATAGCTCTTTCCTTAATACGGAGACATCATCACAACAAAGAATGAGAGTATGATGGAAATCTGGGGGCTAACACACCTAAAGTATCCCCGTTGTTGTTGCCACCACACAAGGCTTCTCCTTGGAGATATGGCACATGTGGCTTTATGGGGCTCAGGGTCAGTAGCATTTGGGTGGCAAAATAGTTAAAACCCTGACTTTGTGGTCTGCCAGGGCCACAGGAGAAGTTTCCTGGTTGAAGCTTCTCCTTTGATAGGCAGAGAGCCTTCTTTCGGGTTTCTACCAGATGAACAGAGATGTGAGCTGAGGGGGTGTATGGGGGAAGGAGGGAGACACCACCATCCTCTAAAGCCTGTGCCTGGTCTGGATCTCCCAGCAGGACCAGCTGACCATGGAGACGGGAAACCACACGAGCGCCTCCCAGTTCATCCTCCTTGGTCTCTCCAGCCAGCCTGAGAGGCAGGAGCTGATCTTCGGGCTCTTCCTTCTCATGTACCTGGTTGGGGTGGCCGGGAACCTGCTCATCATCCTGGCTATTGGCTCGAACTCCCGCCTCCACACGCCCATGTACTTCTTTCTCAGCAGCCTCTCCCTGGTGGATGTCTGCTTCATCTCCGCCACAGTCCCCAAGATGCTTGAGAACATCCAGACACAGAACCGGCCCATTTCCTATGGCGGCTGCCTAACCCAGATCTACTTCTGCATCTTGCTTGCAAACATGGACAACTTCCTCCTGACGGCCACGGCTTATGACCGCTGCGTGGCGATACGCCAGCCCCTGCACTACTCCACAATGATGAGTCTGCCAGCCTGTGCCCTGATGCTCGTGAGCGCCTGGCTCGTTGTCAACCTCCACTCCCTGCTGCACACCCTCCTCATGGCCCGGCTGGACTTCTGTGCCAGCAACGTCATCCCTTACTTCTTCTGTGACCTTTTCCCCTGCTCCAGCTCTCCTGCTCCAACACCCTGCCCAATCAACTCATGATTCTGCTAGTGGGGGGCCTGACCGTCCTCATCCCCTTCCTCAGCATCCTCGTCTCCTATGCGCACATCGTGTCTGCTGTGCTCAGGGCCCCATCTGCCCGGGGAAAACAGAAGGCCTTCTCTACCTGTGGCTCCCAGCTTGCTGTGGTCATGCTCTTCTATGGGACCATCACAGGGGTCTACCTGAGTCCCTCACCCTCCCACTCAGCTGACAAGGATTCACTGGCTTCAGTCATGTACATGGTGGTCACCCCCACGCTGAATCCCTTTATCTACTGCCTGAGGAACGAGGACATGAAGGGAGCTCTGTGGAAACTGGTCAGTGTAAAGGCTGCATTCCATGGGCTATGATAGCAGAGCTCCCCTTTGGGGCCTCTGTGCTGGGAAGGGAGATGAACCCCAGGGACAGGCTCAACACACAGAGGGTGGGAGGAGCAGACCTCACTGTCCTGTGTTGTCACTGTGGCCAGCAAAGCCTTTCACTGCTCCATAAGTAATCTGCAGGTTCAAAATATCTCGACCCCTGTGCTGACTGCCTAGACTACCAAGAGGGGAATAAACTCTCCCACAAAGACAAAACCACATAAACAGATATAAAGGAGCTCTATCTGCAGACCCTCCGGAGAGAGTTCACATGAGAACAGTGAGTTCATAGCCGTCTGTGACCTGTGCTGGTGGGCTTCCCTGGTGGCTCAGGCGGTAAGGAACCTGCCAGTGATGTGGAAGACCCAGGTTCAATCCCTGGGCTGGGAAGATCCCCTGGTGAAGGGAATGGCAACCCACTCCAGTTTTCTTGCCTGGAGAATCTCATGGACAGAAGAGCCTGGAGGGCTATAGTCCATGGGGTCACAAAGAGTCAGATACGACTGAGCGACTCACACACACACACACACACACACACACACACCTGTGCTGACAGCCTGTGCCAAGGAGATGCCCTTTGAGAGCCCCCACGCACCCCTACAGAGGCTCAGATCTTTAACCCTCAAGCAACCCAACTTCCAAACTCCTCTGCTGTACCCCCACTTCCCAACAACCACCACCACACCCTGGGCTGAATCTGGCTTTGGAGACAGGCTTCAGAGTCCTCTTGAAGCTGTCCACACCTCGGCCCGGGTCCTGCTGGCTGGAGTTCCACAGCTCTACCTACTTGTATCAGGAATGTCTAGAGTGACTGTCTCAGCTGAACACCTATGAAGGCCCTATACTGCCCCACTTATGTGCTTCCTCGTCTCTTAGGAAAGAGAGGAGGCTGGACTTAAGAGTTGGTTCTCTGGGTGTGAAGCATGTAGAAGGGAGGGGCCAAAATAATCCTTCTGAAGATGCTTCTCTACAAGCTGAGTTGGGGAAAGAGACAAAGGGAAAAGGCCTCATATAATGGGTTCATGGCTGAAGAAGCTGTATGTGGCTTTCTGTCCAGTAGGATAATATCCTAGGCTGTGATGGGTGTGGCAGAGCTGGGGAGAGCATTACACAGAAAGTCATCACAACTGGCATCCGGTTCTGGCCCCTCCAATTACCAGCTATTTGACTCCAGCTCATCTGACACTCATCATTCCAGCCAACACACCAGGCTCTTTTTGTCCCTCCTCATTCTTCCCCAGCTGCCCCATTTGCCCATTTCTATCCATCAAAATTCCAGTTGTCCCTCAAGGCTCAGATAAAATACCATGCCTTTCATGAAGCTACCTCAAGTCTCCTCAGTCAAAAGGAAATTTTTTTCTCCTCTGAAACTCCATAGAATTTGAATTCTACTACAGCCTCTGTCATGCTGTAAAACAGCATACTTCAACTTTGCCGGGCTCCCCTCAACTCTACTACAAACAGAATTGTTGGAGTCAAGTTTTTCCTTTCTTAAATCTCAATGTTTTAAATTAACAGTAGACATGCAGAAAAAACACTTATGGTCTTTCTCCCCATGATTTTGCCTTAACCAATACTTTTAAATTTCCCCAACCCCAGACAAGGAAAAAGAGTTAGCAACCTGGTTGGCCAGAGCCCAAGGAGTTCACTGGCCCATATTTTATGAAGGGCAGTGTGCCCTTAAGGGTCATCATTCAGGGATGAAGCTCCCTTCCTCCCAGCCTGGCCCCTTGATTAGTCCTCTTCTATCCGTGTGTCTGGCCCGAGTTCTCACTGCGGTCCAGTCACCTCTTCCTTCCTCCCTCCCTCCCCCTGCCCCCAACACCATGACTGAGTACACAGGTCCTTAATTCATCTGGAGCTGAGTGGGAAAGCAACGTACGCCTAGGCTACTTCCCAGCTCACCTTTAACCAGTGAGCCCACGACAGAGGTTACTGGGTATAACTCACATACCAACAGTTGAACTTTGGCTCAGTTTGCTATTGTTCCTTGAACATATTGTTTCCGTGGGATCCTGAGTGTCAGGAGTTGGGATGATTGGATTTCAGCTTTCCTGGGTCTCTGATCATAGAACCACAATAACAGTAGCAAAATCTCACTATCACCTCGTGATGTCATGAAAAGCTGATGTCAGCATGAAGAGGTCTTCATATGCATTTGCTATAATGGTGAATAATACAGCAGTTTGGTCTCAAGGTTAAAAAAAAAAGGAACAAGAAAAAGATTTTAAAAGGGGGCAGGCAGTGAATACATTTGAAAGACCTTAAACTGACCTTGCTCATCAGTGGGCTGTGAGGATGCTTCCTGCTCTGAGGCCTCTCCTCCAACAAACACCTTGTCAGCCTGGCTCATGTCCTGGCCAGGAGGCTGCTTGCTGAGGGGTAAATGGGAAGGAACAACCTGCACACAGGTCAACTACAAGATGTTCAGCAACTCAGCCACCCTTACAGATTTGGTAGCGTAAACCCAATCCTGTGACGATACCAGAAGGTTCATTTATATTTCTAAAACAAAATGTTTAAGGGGAAAAAAATTAGTTCTGTTATCTACATTTTTAAAATAGTGTTATGAGGGGAAGTAGAAGCATCTCCAAGAATTAGAATAAAAAATATCCCCTATGTCACATTTTACAAGTCATAAAACACTCCCTCTGCTCACAGTGGGTGCCTTCCCCACACCAGGGGCGACAGATACTGCATCTGTTCAACAAAGGTAATTTGAGCTCAAGGGAAATCATGTCCCAGATACCTTATCCCAGAGAGATATTAGCAAACAAAACAAAGTTTCCTCTGTCTTGCAGCAGCTCCAGGGATTAAGGAAGCAAAAAAAAAAAGAAACATTCAACATGTCAGAGTTGTGTTATAAAGAAAAATAAACCCAGATCAGGCACCAGACATAGACCAGGAGTGCTCCTGTGGGCAGGCTGTGCTTCAGTTACTATTGTTCATAACCAACAATGTCAACTCAGTGGCTTAAAATAATCATTTATCCAGAGGGATGGGGTGGAGAGGGAGGTGGGAGGGGGGACCGGGATGGGGAATACATGTAAATCCATGGCTAATTCATTTCAATGTATGACAAAAACCACTGCAATGTTGTAAAGTAATTGGCCTCCAACTAATAAAAATAAATGGAAAAAATAATAATAATAATCATTTGTTCTCTCATATTTCTGGTGGTGACTGGGCCCTCAGAATAACGTATAGATGGGGTTTTGTCAGAGCTCTGGAATCATCTGCAACACTCAACTCTCCTAGAACTATCACATTGGCTTTGCTGGACTCTCCACATCCAACCTGGCACGTGGTTACAGATAAGTACAACCTCCTCCTGTTATAACAGAACTCAAGCATTTTTTGTAGAGCTGCACTCCCAAGATGCCCTAAGCAAAGTGCTTCACCTGTCTCCCCCATCCTGGGACGTGAAAGTGAAGGAGAGTGACAGCAACTGAGAAAATGAGGGAAGCAGCAGCAGGCAGAGAAGCAGATACTAGGTGACTGCACCCAAGAGAAATGGATGCATTGAACAAATCTTTGTGAAGCACTTTTATTAAGCTGGGCATTGTACTGAGACATAGCAATAAATGAATTTCTGATTCCCTCCTCCCCGAAAAAATCTTCTATTATCTACATTTTTAAAATAGTGTTATGAGGGAAAGTGGAAGCATCTCTGAGAATCAGAATAAAAAATATCTCCTATGTCACATTTTCCAAGTCATACAACACTCCCTCTGCTCACAGTGGGTAACTATCCTTGATGTTTAAGAGGTTCCTGTGTTATGGCTACCAGCTGAGAGTCATAACAGCACTTCACTAAGAAGATCATGACTTACTATTCATTTGTAGGACCATCTTACATCTGCTTTGGGCTGGTGGGGGGAAACTTCGGGATTTATTCAAATGTTTCAACAAGTGCTCTGGTGCAGCCAGCGTCCCACATGATGATGGAGCAAGATCTCTCAAAATAGACATGCATATTACCACCTGAGGAGTTGGGTAAAAGGAAGGTACCAGTGGAAAATTGTTCCATCCCCAAGTACATTTCAAACAAGTTCCCCAGGCGTCTTTGATGTCAGGGGTTTTCAGAGGACACTTAAGAGAGTCTCTGCTGAAAAGCATTGTTAAACGATAAAAAAAGGAGGCATAGTAAAATTTTTCAGTTTATTTGAGCAAAAATCATTCCAGACACAGGAGGCAGGAGCAAGACGTCTACAGTGAAGACAAGTAAGAGAAGTGAGTAAATTGAGAGGCTGTAGTTTAAGGCTGCCTTATACAGGAAGTCAAGTTGGCTGTTTGTGATTGGCCATCCTTTTCGTTTTTAACCTTGAGGCGTTCACAGGCTTAGGTTTGGGTTTGCTCATATAGGCTGCCAAGGCATTAGAGTTACCTCTAACTGCCTTCTTGTTTAACTAGTTTAAGAGCATGAAGGATAAAAATCTCTATCCTGAATATCCTAAGGATAGCTTTCACCTTGAGCACTGAGTGTGGCAGGAACATGTCCACCCTTCCACTACCCAAGCTGAAAATAGCAAACTGAGTGAGCTGATCTGATTGAGAGCTGAGTGCCACCCAGAGGAGCAGTATCCCCTGTGGTACCATGGAAGGCAAGGGATGTTCGAAGACCGTGGACCTGGTCACCTCTAGATCCCCTACATTGAATTTTTTTAATCAGATGCCATTATTCTATGAGAAAGTGAACTTCTAGAGTCAAATACCACATGATCGAGTTACCTGCCCCACTGCTCTGGGAATTTCCTGAAATATAAAGCACTCCAACATAGAGATGTGACCAGTACCACGTGGGATTGACCAGGGAGCTACAAAGAATGCTGCAATGAATTGTCTTGTGCATATGTATCTTGTTGTTAGAGGTGTGTCTTCAGAATAAATTCACATGTAACTTTGTTAGATATAGCAGTGCTAAATTCCCCCCACATAAAGTTGTACCATTTTGCATTCTGTCAGCGGTGCGTAAGAATTCCTTTATTCCCACAAACTCATCAATCACATGTAGTCGGCTTTTGAATCTATAGGATAAGAAATAATATCTCAGTGTAGCTTTACTTGGTATTTATTTCATGAGTGAAGGTGAACTTCTTTTCATATGTTCAAGAGTCACTTTCATCTTTTTTGTGAATTCAAATTTGTTAATTTTTCCATGCAACACCATCTTTATTATATGCTAGGTTTCCATACAGGGATGGGTCTGTTTCTGAATCTGTATTCCACTCCATTGGTATATCTGTGCTACCACCACATTGTTTTAACTCTTGGTTTTTCATTCTTTTCATCATCACCTTAGTCCAGGCAGCAGGAATTCCTAAAACTGATGGCTGAGAATACCTAGAGGGAAGACTGGTTCTCAACAATAAACTGTTCATCGTACATTCTGCGTCTTCCTGTTCAGAGAATCTGCTGAGCCCTTCTACAGAAGTCCATGAAACATCCAGATGATAGAGATCGGGTTTTCTCAAATTTTTCAGACATGGAGATGGTGTTAAGACTCAAATAGCTCCCAGGGGTGGGACTCGAGAAGACAAATACAGACTTCTACCATCCCTTTTCCCAGGCTTTGTCTAAAAGCTCATACACCATCTTCTCAATAAACACAGTTTTTAAGTAGGAAAGGGAAATATGAAGCCAACTCTTGCAATCTGCCGTGTTTCCTGACCTCTGGCCACGGAGACCATGAGCTGTGACTAGTGCATGCGGCAGTGAGGACAGCCCTTTTACTGGCCCCTCTGTGCTCTTCCATCTCCTCAGTCCCTCTGCTTCTCAGGGTACAACACCAGTATCACCCAGCCCTTCCACCCTCACACTCGCAGCAGTTTAAGTTCCTGGAGACAAACACAAGGAAGATGACAGCCTACCCTCCCTACTTCATAACAAATGTTTACTGCAGTTTTTTATTGAAAGGTATCAACCCTGGGAATGGGTTGCACAAGACCAGTCTCTAGAAATATGCCCTTCACTGAGCCAATAAAGAAAAAAAAGGCAAGAAAGGGATATGAAATTGTAAGAAGCCCAAGTGAGCTACTCTGACCTATAGAACTGCTAAGTGAACAGGATGTCCCTGCAGATGGCGTGCAGCAGTTACAGATAACTACCAGGCTGGGGGGCCACTGAGAGGCACTGTACTTCAGTGCTCTTCCCTCCTAAGGCACACTCGAGAGACTTCTAGCCATGAAAAAGGTAGAAATACAGGGCTTTCATCCATTCAAATATTTTTGTCTACTGTGGGCCCTAAAGACCTTATTATGGAGGCAAAAATGTTGGCACTGGCTGCATCATGCTTGCATGGCTCCCAACATGCACCTGTATTCACTGGGGACGGTGAGTCCAGGCCCAGCTCACTGCTGTGTGAAGGCTTCACAGCAGGTACCTGCCCGAAAGGAACCCAAAGCCACCAGCCAAGCTGCCTGTGACAGATCCCAGCACCCACCCTGAGACTCAGCTTCAGTAGCTCTTGGCTCTGCCTGGCAACACTGCACTTAACCCACATGATCTCTAGTAGCTCCTCTGTTTTCTAGAAATTAGGCCAGGGGTCTTTAAGGTCCAGGTCTTTTCTTCCAATAGCTAAGCCATCTAACTTGCTCCAGCACTTAACCTGAACCCTAAGGGCAGAGGTTCTCAGCCAAGATCAATTTTGCTCCAGGGGACATTTGGGAAGGCCTGGAAACACCTTTAGCTGTCACAACTGTCATCTAACAGACTGAGAACAAGGATCCTGCTAAACAGCCTATGACCCACAAGAAAGCCAGGGCAGCCTCCAAGACAAAGACGTGCCTGGCACACAGTGAGAACAGTGCCAAGGTTGAGAAACTCAGGCAAGGTTTACAAGAGCAAGGAGACATGTTTTGACAGCTCCTTTCCCCATCTCAGAAGTGGATCCAGATAACTTGTGTTGCAGGGTGAAGGTGATGGGATGAGAAACCAGCTTATTTTTTAAGAAACAAAGGTATTCCTACTTTTCTCTAGCACACTTAATTAGCCTTCAGACAACATTCACCCTGGCATACATTTTGAGAAGCATTTTTTTTAATGCATTAGCTCCCCAGGACAGACCTTAGGCAGAAAGCTATCCAGTCTGTTAACGCCCAGGGAATAAAAAGGGGTTTCTCTTACAAAGCTCATACCCCTTGGGAACAGCACTTTCTCACCACCACAGGCATCACGGCACACACAGCTAGGCCCTGAAAGTGCACAGCCTTAGCCCAGCGTGAGGGAACTGCAGACACCCTGTCACACACAATGAGGGCTAAATATAAAGTGACCAAGTGTCCCTGTTTGCCCTGGAGTCCCAGTTTACACCACTGTCCTGACATAATTAAAAGCACTTCCCTTTACTCTCAAAGGGAGCTTGAAATGAACAAGATGAGCTTGTACCACCCTGTCACATGAGAGCAAAGAAGCCATCAAAGGTGATTAGTGTTATATAGAATCAGGAGCCAATGTGAAGAGGCTCCCACTGGTCAGAACTGAAATTATTTGAGCATCAACAACTGTGGTGGATTGGTTTAAATTCAAGAATGCATTTTTTATTAAAAAAATAATAATAACTGACCACTTTCATGGTGATCAGTTTAGAAGAAAAGCCACTAGATTATTATTGTGAAGACAGGCAAATAAGGGAAAGAATCCAGTATTTCCCTGTATGAGTTCACAGATACAGCTGTGAGGCACCCCAGCTAAAAAAATGAAGATTCTTTTATACAATTAGCAAAATAAATGCAATTAGGCTCTTCAGTTCAGTTCAGTCACTCCGTCATGTCCAACTCTTTGGGACCCCATGACTGCAGCATGCCAGGCCTCCCTGTCCATCACCAACTCCTGGAGTTTACCCAAACTCATATCCATTGTGTTGGTGATGCCATCCAACCACCTCATCCCGTTGTCCCCTTCTCGTCCTACCTTCAATATTTCCCAGCATCAGGGTCTTTGCAAATGAGTCAGCTCTTCACATCAGGTGGCCAAAGTATTGGAGTTTCAGCTTCAACATCAGTCCTTCCAATGAATATTCANATGTCCAGTTCTAACTGTTGCTTCCTGACCTGCACACAGGTTTCTCAAGAGGCAGGTCAGGTGGTCTGGTATTCCCATCTCTTTCAGAATTTTCCAGTTTGTAGTGATCCCCACAGTCAAAGGCTTTGGCATAGTCAATAAAGCAGAAATAGATGTTTTTCTGAAACTCTCTAGCTTTTTTGATGATCCAGCAGATGTTGGCAATTTGATCTCTGGTTCCTTTGCCTTTTCTAAAACCAGCTTGAACATCTGGAAGTTCACAGTTCATGTATTGCTGAAGCCTGGCTTGGAGAATTTTAAGCATTACTTTACTAGCGTGTGAGATGAGTGCAATTGTGCGGTAGTTTGAGCATTCTTTGGCATTGCCTTTCTTTGGGATTGGAATGAAAACTGACCTTTTCCAGTTCTGTGGCCACTGCTGCTTTTTCCAAATTTTCTGGCATATTGAGTGCAGCACTTTCACAGCATCATCTTTTAGGATCTGAAATAGCTCAACTGGAATTCTATCACCTCCACTAGTTTTGTTCATAGTGATGCTTCCTAAGGCCCACTTGACTTCACATTTAGGCTCTTACCATTATATAATGACAAACAACCAGAAAAGCCACCATCTGTACTATGTTCTTGCCAGAATGTGAAACATGAACCTGACTAGCCCTCTACACCTTAAGTTTTCAGTTAATCAGACGGCAGAGAACTATATTTAACTAGGCCATGAGTGTGCAAGCAATAACATTCAGAATGTGAGAAAGTCCCCAGGACACATAATCCAGCTGTTTTAATGAATAAATTTTAAGGGGAAGGGACTTCCCTGGTGGTCCAGTGGTGAGGGCTCTGTGCTTTCCACTGTAGGGGGCATGGATTCAATCTCTGGTTGAGGAATTAAGATCGCACAAGCCATGCAGCATAGCCAAATAAAAAAGAAAAACATATATCAAGGGGGAAAAGATATATCAGACTTAGAAGACAAGCAACAAATCACAATTTATGGATCTTACTTTGATCTTAAAAGAGCTTTTTAAAAATCATGTGGTTTTTTTTTAAGTGCATTAATTGGAAATTAAGGAACTATTTAATTTTTTAGGTATGATAATAGCAATGTGGTTTTTTTTTTTTTTTAAAGAATTCTTAACATTTAGCAGTATACAGTGAAATATCTATAAACAACATTTCAGATCTGCTTCAAAATACTTCAGCTGGGGAGGAAGATGAAGAGGAGGAGGGGGCAGAAATGTAACAAGATTAGCTATGCAGAAACAAATGGTTAAAGCTAAATTATGAATACATGAAGATTCATTTATATGTTTGAAATTCTCTATTCTAAAAAAATTCCCAAGAAAAATACAGAAAACAATATTTGGCATTTGAATAGCTATCAAAAATAAGGTTAATACAACTCTATGGGAAAATTTTCCTTTTGGGACTCTTGGGAGGAACTGTAGTAGCTTTGGTCTCAAAGCAAACAAGGGAGCCCACACAGGAAGATAGCAAGCTCTAACTCTTACAGAAGCTCCCTTCTGAGATCCCAACTGACTGAAAACCCAGTGTATACTCAGAGAATCTGCCATTTAATTCAGGTAAACAGAAGGCCACTGATGAGCAACTGCAAACCCATGCTGGCCCCATGCCCCCTACACACCTCTTAGAAAAGACCAAACTTGGGTCAGGTCAGCCCCTATGTTCTACAGACTAGAAGCCAGAGGCTGAGGGAAGCCTGTCATTGGGTTTGGACTCCAGGTGGCTATGAGCCTTGCCTAGCTTGTCTGAGGCGTGGGGCAGAAAAGAGCTGACTCTGCATCTGGACTCAACGTTGCTGGGAAATAGCAGTCCAGCATCTCAGAAAGTGGACGTCTCACAGTACTCACAGCCTCATGGGGACAACTGAAGGGCCAGGAGGTCTTCTGCTGAATCAAATGTAAACACCATGGTTACCTGCCAAATGAGTGATAAAATAATGTGTTTCAAATCAGAGTGAGTAATGCAACTCTCTGTATTAAAGTCATTACCAATTATCAATATCCCATTTACAATGGAAAATGGGGGGGGGGGGGGCAGGAAACCCCAGTGAAAGAAGATAGTATTAAGAGGCACCATAAGACAAATCACATCTTGCAAACACAGGACACAGTCCAAAGACAACTAACTTACAGTCCCATCAGAAGACTAACTCACTCGGCAGTGGCGTCCGAAGGCACTGCAGCACGGTCCGGGCTAGTTAGGCAGTTTCCAGAAAGTCCAAGTAAAAGGAAACCCTTTAACGATGGCAAAATAATATGAGAGCTTAAACACAGTTACAGATAATGCATGTTCTTATTTTTTAAAAAATGTATTTAATTCCTAAAAACATCTTTGTTTTTCCTAAATTAGCGTTCATATAAAAACAGCCAGCTACTGTCTCATCATCTCCAGGTGGCCTGAGGATCCCAAGCACCTCTCAGATGACAAGGACCGAGATGCACCGAGGACAGAGAGGATTCAGAAACAAGAGGTAGGTGGTGGTAAATGCACTACAGGGCCAGAGCTGACAGGACGGAGGCACAGGCCCAGATCCAGAGGGTATCTGGGAGTATCCACAGGTTCCACCTCAGGTGATTCTGAAGATCAAATACATTCACTAACACGTAAGTTCCCCAAGGACAGGGACTCCCCCCATTTTATTTACTAACCTACCTCAAGCACCCAGAAGAGCCCCTGGCACACTGTCAGGCCTCAATAAATATTTGTGGAATGAGTCAAGTGAGAAAACAGGGAAGTGCATTTTGTATGCTGTAAAGTGCCATCAAACATAGAGTATTAACACCAGTTCATCTTTCAGACTCATTTAATTAGAACTTCATTCCGAACTGGATTCTTTTTTAAAAATACTCTCATGTTTAGACAGTGACCAAAAGCAAAATATTCATTTCCTAACAGATGTGTGGACAGTGTTTTTGTTCAAGGAACAATGGAATGGGAGAAACTACTAATGACAGTAGGTCACAGAGAGAAAGGGGCCACAAAGACAGTAAAATAAAGGCAGATGCCTAAGTGACCCAGCTGGGGAGGGAAAGATCAGGAACTGGGTAGATGGAGCGGAGAACTTCCTCTCAGTACTCACCAGGAATGTAACTCAGGGCGCTCTGCTTTATTAACAAGTCTGCTTCCAGAGCTTGATCCCACACTCTGGGGCGCTGAGGTCTCAGCTGTCTGGTCACTGGACTCCCAGTGCCAGACACACAGTAGGTGTTCAATAAATATTTGTTAAATGGAAGAGAACTGGGGGGAGAGAGGGAATCAGAGTCTGAGCTAATGATCTTGCAAGGACACAGCCCTCTGGAAAATGAGGTTCAAGCTGCTGACAGGTGAGAAGATTTCACCACAAAGACCAGATTTGCTCAGGAGGTGGACGTGAACATCCATGGACGGAGAAAAACCTCGACCTGAACTGAAACTTGGGCCATCACTTCCTGGAAAGAAGGTTAAGAAGTGCTAGCACCAGTTGGGTGAGAGATGTGGCATCTCAACTAAAGCAGGCCTCTCCCTTACCCAGCGTCTGAAATGAGGGGAAAGAAAAGGGGTCATAGCGGCTCTCCACACCCAACACTCCTGACACCTGCAGCCCTTCAGGGAGTATAGTGGGTACTTCCTCCCACGAGGTCCCGGAAGGCCCTGCCTTCTCCATGAGCCAAAAAGGGGCATCCGGGCCAGGTGCCCTTACTGCCCCGGGGGCTCCTGGCGGTGCTGCGTCTTCTGGTGCCGGTTGAGGATGGAGCGCTGGTTGAAGCTGCGGCCGCAGGCCGGGCAGCAGTACGGCTTCTCCCCGGTGTGGATCCTCTGGTGCCGGACCAGCCGCTCCCCCTTGCTGAAGCGCTTCCCGCACACCTGGCAGCCATAGGGCTTCTCGCCGGTGTGGGTCCGCCGGTGCACCGCCAGGTTGGCGTTCCTGCTGAAGCGCTTGCCACACTCGCAGGTGTAAGGCTTCTCGCCAGTGTGTGTCCGGCGGTGCACCTGCAGGTGCTGCCGGCGGCTGAAGCTCCTCCAGCAGTCCGCGCACTGGAAGGGCTTCTCGCCTGTGTGGCTGCGCTGGTGGACCGCGAGGTGGTGGCGCTGGCTGAAGGTCTTCCAGCACTCACCGCACACGTGGGGCCGCCGGCCCAGGTGTGTCCGCTGGTGCTTCAGCAGGTACTCGCGCAGCGCAAAGCCCTTGCCGCACTCCCCGCAGCTGTACGACTTCTCCTCCTCGTGCGTCCGCTGGTGTCGGACCAGGTTGGAGCTCCGACTGAAGCCTTTCCCACACTCGGGGCACTGGAAAGGCTTCCAGAAGGAGCTGTGGGTCTGGAGGTCATCGGGCAGCGGGGCGACGCTGTGCTGGGGTGGGAGCGGCCCAGGCACGTTTCCCAGCGAGCTCCTGGCCTCCTGCTCACATGGTCTTCCTAGCTCCGGGCCCTGGAGCGCAGGCTCCCCACACCGCTCTGCCGGCCCGCAAGCGAGCTGCCCCTTGGGGTCTGCCAGCTGGGTCTTTGCCTCCTTGCCCTTGCTCCCCAGGCCTACAGGACAAAGGAGATACAGACCAACACTGAAGAGGATCTGAAGAGAAACTTCTAGTCAGAACTTGGCTTCTAACATGTCCCATTAACAACTACCAATGACCTCTGTGCATTTCACTTGCTCTGACTCTAAAACCAGATATTCTTTTACTTCTTTCCACCTGTTATGGACTGAATGTTTGGGTTCCCTCCAAAATTCACAGGTGGAAGTTCTCAGACCCCTGGGGCCGCTGTTAGGAGGTGGGGCCTTTGGACCGTGATTAGGTGAGGGTCTGGGGGTGGAGTCCCCAGGATGGGACCATGTCCCAGAAGAGCAGAAGCCAGGGCTGGCTCTCTGCACACAAGGGTCATGTGAGCGGGAGCCCTCGTGATGGATTAATGGCCTTATAAAAAAAGGAGGAAGAGACACGAGATCTCTCTCTCCCTCCCTCTGCTACATGAGGAGCTGGCAAGGAGGCGATTGCCTGTGAACCAGGAAGAGAGGCCCTTGCCAGACAACAAATGTGCCAGTAACTGGATCCGGGACTTCCCAGCCTCCGGAACTAGAAGATATTAAGTGTCTGTTGTTAAAGCCACCCACTTGGTGGTATTTTGTGACAGCAGCCCACGGTCAGACCATCTCCCTGCCTTCTTACGGAACCATGTGCTAAATTACAAGGCCCTCCCTCTTAATTTCCTACTAAGTCACCCTGTGCTTTTCAAAATCTAACTCAATGCCATCCTTTAAGGAACATACCTTGATTTCTCCCCCACTGTGGGTCTCATCAGCACATGCATTCAATTAGCACTGTTTATTCCACACTTACTTACACATGACCTTGATGCACATGCTACTCTACAGTCGTCGAGATGTTCAGCTTCCCCAGGATCACAGACCTGTTCCAGCAATTTTTCCACATCCTCCCTCAGCTCACTGTCCCTGCTCACACTGTACCCTCCACCTCACCCTGGTTTATTACTCTGGGTGTCTGGGAGCCTGGCACTGGGACTGACTCAAGGAAGATGTTTCATGACTGCTGGATGGGCCAGTGAAGGCAGCTGTCTGTACCAGGCCACCTCAACATCAGCACATTTATTAGGAATGAAATGCCCTTCCACAGGTCCTTCCTTTGTTCCCTCTTTTACTCTAAATTAACAGAATAATTGGTTACATAAGGTCAAGAGGAAGGGGAAGAGAAGAGAGGAGAGAGATACTAGGGAGCAAAGAAGCCAAGAAAGAAGAGGGAAATGACAAGTCACACTTAAAACAGGTAAGTCTTTTCAGGCAAGGCCATTAAAAGAGAAAAGGAAAAAGGACACTTAATGCTTCTTGATTTGACAAAATACAGAGGAGACAGCGAGCATTTCTGATGTCTTACCTGGAGGTGAGACCCCGCAGTCCTGGGGTTCCACATACTCCCCAAAGCAGTCTATCTGGGTTGGGGTTACATGCCTCCACTCCTCCTCAGGGAAAGCCAGGGCCATGTCTTTAAATGGGCCCAACCCCTGAAAAAGCACAGGAGATGGCTAAGGATAAAGAAATGATCCCAAGGCAGGAGCAGCTGAAGAGCACACACACGCGGCCACACTCCAGGGGAGAACAGAGCAAGAAGATGGAGGAATCAGGGTCCCAGATGGCTCCAAAATGGGACTGGAAGTGCCTCCCTCGAGACAAGTTTAACGACAGAGAAGTGATCGACTTGTCTGAGGCACTGTATTGAGTCTTTGCTGCAGCCGCTTTGCTGGTACCCAATAACCACTACTCCAATTTCCACTACTCAATCACCTCCACTACATCCTCATATTGGAGGGAGATGGGGGCTGCTATTTATCCCCTCATGTAGAATCAATTTTCCCTCAGAGATAAGCAAACACTTGGGCAGGCCCTATCTTAAGAACAACGCCATGTAAAAACGAATATGCTGCTGTCATGACATGGTAAAGAAGAATATTTGTGGCAGGAGAAGAGAGTTTAACTTAATTAAAAAAAAAATGCTGATGTCTTTCTTCCTCTCCTCTAAATGTCCTTGGAAAACAGAAGCAGGAAACAGCACAGGCACCAAACCTTGCCCAAATACTGCTTTAATGAGATCAAACTTGAGTCACTTCTTTTTTTTCTGCCAAATGATAACTTTCCTTCTACAAGGAACTCTTCACTTTTAAGACTTGATGTCCCTTTCAAAAAGCTGTCAGACGAGACACTCCCCAACTCCCTGAGAACACTGGGCATGCCATGGGAGACACTCACACCATGACAGAACTGCCCACCTGTGCTCTAAGGATCCCCATCTGTGGCAGGCTGAGAAGTGCTAATAAGGCCAAAACTCCTGGTGCAGTCTTTGGAGGGGCCAGAGACCATGCCACTTGGCACTGCTGGGCACCCCCACCTCTGAGTCAGCAACACTCCTGCTGACTTGGGAGGGAGGGAGGGGTCCACAGGAAGAGCAGCCACAGACAGATCCATAAAGGCTATCCACAAAGGGCTACTGATCTCCTGGCCGCCCACCATAGCCGAGATCATGCCTATGGGGTTTCCACCAATAATGGCTTCCTCCTCATAACTGGGCTTCCCTTGTGGCTGAGAGGTAAAGAATCTGCCTGCCGATGCAGGAGACATGGGTTCAATCCCTGGGTTGGGAAGATTCCCTGGAGGAAGGTGTGGCAACCCACTCCAGTATTCAGTATTCTTGTCCGGAAAATTCCAACAGAGGAGCCTGGTAAGCTACAGTTCATGGGGCTGCAAAAGACTCAGACATGACTGAGTGACTGAATAACACCACAGTTACAAGAGTAATACTGAGTTGACTGAGGAAAAAAAAGAAATTAAAGAGTAATACAAATAAGGGAGCTGAGCCTCATGCCTAGACCCTAAGGCATAAGGCTCAATCCAAATGAGTAACTGATGATAGTCAAGAGGAAAAAGCGTCCATCAGGACAAGAAAGGAAGAATCACTCAACTCTGTGCACAGTGCTCTGCTGTGCGGGAAACTCTTGAAGAAGGTGCACCTCAGTCAAAGCAACCTCGTGCTCCCTGATGGGCAGGCACAGCTCACCTGGGATCCAGCCGTCAGGAAGCTAGCTGCCACCTCCTGGTCTCTGGTGCTCACTGCAGGGAGGCCAGCACCGGCGTGAAGGACTGGCAGAGCTGAGCAGGAAAGGAAAACAGGAGCAGGTTTAGCACTGTCCTGCAGCAGCTCGGCCACAGGCTCTGCTGCATGACACACAGAACCCCGGGAACTATAAGGAGACTCCAGACAGGCCGGGCATGGGTGTACCCCACTCTGTCCCCAGAGGGGAAGAAGGGCCCAACCCAATACACACGGCCCTTCAGGACGGTTCATGCTCCCAAGTCACAGGCTCACAATAACCCCTTTGAGATTCAGCAACACAGTAAAGTCACCTGTTACTTTCACGGATTTGGTTTATCCACCCACTTAAAAAAAAAAAATCCCTACATGCCAGCTACGTATGCCCTGGCGCTCTCCATATTAAGGATGTGAGGGGAAGGAGAAAAAATGACAAGACAGCGTGATCCCAGACAGCCCTGGCAGATATTGAGAAATTGAGCTATAGAAAAAGCTTCACCACATCTGTTTCCTACTGAAGTCAAGGAGGAAGTCAGGAAAACGCAGAACTGCACCTGCAGGTGCCTTGGTTTGTCAGCTGAGGGATAAGGAAAGGGGAACGCAGGGTACAAAGCAGTTTTCTGCACCCTATCTTCTTATTGCTTGCATCTTACCCTGCTCCTGGAAGGCCTGCGTCCCCTCTCCAGGGTCCTGGCTGAGCTGCTCCTCAGCGCCTCTGTCAAGGCCTTGGACGTCTTCCCTGTGGGGCATCCCCCACTCGGGCTTGACCTCCACGGGCCCCAGGTGGACACTTGGTTCCCAGGGGTCTCTGCAAAGTGCTGTCTCCTCCCGCTGTCCCTGCACGTGGCACGGAACCTAAGAAGAGTCCCCAACACCTGTTAGAATGAGGCCTGCATTAAGACTCATGAAAGCCATTCCAGCTGCTGGGGAACGGACAAGCTGGCTCAGCTCTTCCTGAGCACAGCAGTGAAAAGGTGAAAAGGAAGCTAAACTGCCTTCATCAGGCCCTGAGATCAGATACTTGTCTGTATCCATGCCATTTGACAAGAGTCCCTTCAGCTCACCTCGGTACTGATCACATTCCACCATGAACAACATCACAGAGTGACAGTATCATTTCATTGAGAACTTCAGCCCAAAACACACATTAGAAAAAAAACATTCCTTAGTTAAAGATGCTGAAAACAAAAAATACAAGGCCTAGACTGTGCAGTGAATTAGTGAGGGAAAAAACTGTTCTACAGATAGCAAGGAAAACCAAAACCCACAAAAACAGGCCCTTTCTGGTCCATTTTTAAGCTTCTACTAAAGACAAAACAACTCTCTTAGACAACACAGGAAGTCAGGGTGACTGCTGTGGGAAAGGGGAGAATAAACTGAAGGAAAGTTGTTACCTGCCAGCAAAAGAGTAAGTAATGTTCGGGCCTGCCCTCTCTTTCCTAGACAGCCAGCAGGAAACGGTACCAGAGAGGGACAGAGACATGACCAGAGACCCAGGGAAGCCTCTAAGGTGCAAAGTCACTCGTCATGTGAGTCACCTGAGCCAACGCCTCAGACGTGGACACAGCACTGCTACAGACAGCGCTCCTGAGAAAAACTTCACCAAGGAGAATTCCCCGCAAGCCCACATACGTCTCCGCCCAAAGAGGAAGGCGACCCCCGGACCTTTAAAATCCATCATAACTGCCTTCCTTTCTTTTTTTTTTTTTTTTTTCAATTTTTGGCCATGCCACACAGCATGTGGGATCTTAGTTCCCTAACCAGGGATTGAATCCGGTGCCCCCTGCATTAAGCCAGTCTTAACCACTGGGAGGTCCACCACTGCCTTCTTGGACCCAAGGTTCACAAAGGAAGTATGGCCAAGCCCCTGCCCTGATGACCAGAAAAGAAGCTACCGGCCCTGACACCAGCCCTGCATCTTCCCTGGGAATGGCTTTCCTTGCTGAAAACTCTACCCTCCAAAAAGTACTTCTAGTGGCCCAGGAGCAGAGAAAAGAGACTCTATGCACATCACCCACTCCCACTGCTTCATCAAACCCCTCGATTCTTTACAGTTTTCCTTCCACATCAAGAAAGCAAGACCCAGAACCCCCTTCTCACCCACCGCCTTGGCCTCCAGGGCTCTCTGTGTGAAGTCCTCCACCATGGCCACCAGGGCCTTGCCGCTCTCAGGGCCATGCTCCCAAATCCAGGCGTAGAACTCCCGTGGCAGGATGGTCAGGAACTGCTCCAGCACTAGCAGCTCCAGGATCTGCTCCTTGGTATGCAGCTCAGGCCGCAGCCACTGGCGACAGAGCTCCTGGAGCTCCCTGAGGGCTTCCTGGGGCCCTGCTGCCTCCTGGTAGCGGAACTGCCGAAACCGCAGGCGAAAAGTCTCCGGACTGGGGTCCTCCCTCGTCCTGCCCCACGGCAGCTCTTTCTCCAGTTTTACCACAGGGCCACCCATTTGCTGCTGAGGCTCTTCTGCCATCCCTGGACGCTCTATAAGCATCTTACAGAAGACTGTAAGTCTGTAGGGAAGACCAGACAGACAACAGGACAGCATAAATAAGACACCAGGAAGCTCCGAACATCCCAGCTCTGCCTCTACATCAATAAACATTCCACTGGAAAACAGGATAACGAGACATTTTCAAAAGACTAGACATATATCCTGAGTCATGTCAATTCAACTCAGTATTTGCTAACCACTTATGTGTGGAGGGTAAATAGAAAGCATACAGGACTTAGCTTATACCCACAAATAACTTAGAATTTCATGAAGAGGATAATACTATAATCATTAAATGAAGATGTTTTATAACTAGTCACCAGGGCCCACTCTTTCAAAATCAAAGAAAATATACATTCAATATATATCTATGACTGGCCCACAGAAGCTAGGAACACAAGAGAGAACAAGACAGACAAAGTGTCTGCCCTACGAACCTCACAAACTGGTGCAGCAGATGGAAAAAAAATGTAAACAAATAAATTTAAATTATAAATGAGAATTAGTTCTAAAAAGGAAATAAGGAGGGTGTTAATGGGGACAATCAACTTAGAAAAGGCTTTTCTAAAGAAATGACATTTAAGATGAGACCCAACAAATGAATGAGAATGAGCCAGTCATTCAAAGAACTTTCCAGGCAAAAGAAAGCCTTGGGGGCTAGACATTACAGGCAGTCTGCAAACAAACCAAAGTGCAATGTGGCTTCAGTAGAGTGAGAGAGGGACAGAACACAGGGGAAGGAGGAAAACAGATTACCCAGGGCCTGGGCATGCAGTAAGAATTATGGACTTCACTCTTATTCCTTATTTTAGTGGGGAGATATATGTTCTTCAAAGGTCACTCTGCCTGCGAAGTGTCAGCAGAGTATAGATATGAAGGGTCAAGAAGGAAAGCTGCACTTACCCTAGTCCAAGCAGGAAACAGAGACTTAGATCAGGGCAGTGGCAAAGCAGCAGTCAGTCAAGGCATTTTGCAAGTAAAACCAATAGCCTTGTTGGTGGCTAGAATGTGACAGTGTGCACAACCTAAAGAAAACAACACAATGATATACATACATACATTACTATAATTGATCAAAAGAGTTCCAACTTATGTAGGCTTTACCATTTAGAAACCATGTGAGCACACTCTCTCATTTAATACGGACAACCATCCTAGTGAGTACTGAAAAAACTGAAAACGTAAGAGGCTAAACAGATGATTGAGGTCAGCCTCCCAAAACACAAAAGTATAGATAAGAAACATGGGAAGTCAAAAAAAAGAGAGAGAGAGAAAGGTTTATGCAACTTCGAGTACTCATGAGAAAGAAGAGACCTGTAAACTTGGGTAGGGGGAAGGAGGAAGAATCGTTTTAAATGTAGCAGAGAATAAGCGAATGGCAGTAGGCATTAATATTTTCCAGGCGTCTGCTTAATATTCTGCTGAGTGTGTATTTATCTATCCTTCTCAAATGTATTTACATTTTCACTCTATTTGTCTTCTCTGCTGCATCAATTGAGATTTCTCTTTCCTGACTTTCTAACTACTGAATTCGTTCACCCCACGATTGCATTTACCACATTATAGTGCGAATACTTATCCGTGTGTCTCCAACTACAAGATTCCCTTCAGTAAAGAAATGTCCTGGCAACCCACTCCAGTACTCTTGCCTAGAAAATTCCATGGATGGAGGAGCCTGGTGAGCTACAGTCCATGGGGTCCCAAAGTCAGACATGACTGAGCGACTTTTCACTTTCACTCTCACTTCCTAAACACACTGGTGGCTCTGATTATTACATTCAAAACTGGGATGTTAGACTATATTTTCAGTATTCGGTTTAAACAGTACAGTACTGTGTAGATAAAGTGATATTTAAAAATATTGTTACCAAGTGTTAAAAAAAAAAAAGAAAGAAATGGCCTCATTCTGGGGAATTCCCTGGCGGTTCAGCGGTTAGGACTCTGAGCTTCCACTGCAGGGGGTACGGGTTCTATTCCTGGTCTGGGAACTAAGATGCCGTACTGACTGGCCGAGAAGAAGGGAAAAAAGAAAAAAAGCCCTCACTCACTCATCTTTTACTTCGCTTGAGAAATAGAAGGCGTCACTTTGTTATTCTTTGAAGGAGCTTCTCGTTCTAAAATGACCACTTTTCAATCCAGAGTGTTCTGCTTCGGCTCACGATATCCGGGCTCTGGAAACCTCCCCCGTTAAGCCAACCCAGGCCGGGCGCGACCAACCTCGCTCCTACCTTAGCCGAGCGCCGTGCGGCTCCCCCGGGATCCCGCCCCGCAAGGCCTCGGTGCTGCGGGAGGCAGCTCCGGGGAGACGCGCCGCCCTCAGCGTCAGCCTCGCCGCCACCGCTGACGCCCGCAGCAGCCCCACAGCACCAAACCCGGGGCCCAGCCACCTCGGCCCCGCCTCTCAAACGCGTCTCCCCTCACAGCCCTACACCTGAGGTGGAAGCTTGCCCCAGCCCGCCGCGAGCCGGAAATGGGCGACGGACGCGGTCAGACAGGTGCGTTAAGGAGGGGCCCCTTCCGTTTCCTCTCTAGGACGCTCGGAGGCCGGTGCGTCTCGTTGATCCCCCTTCCCCGGGGACCGTTCGGGAGCGCGCGCCGGACCACCAGAGGCTCCACCCACCTGCCTCTGTTCAGGCCCACGGTCGCTAGGCCCTTAGCGCCTGCGTGCCTTTGCATCTGCGCTCCTTTATGGGAAGGACGCTTCTCCAGACACACCGCGAGATAAAGCGCCTCCCTCATGGGACTTTAGATTAGAGCCCAGTCGGTCAACACATGTTTACTGCATCCTCCGGGGCTTTGTGCGAGGCTTAGGGTCAGAGGGTGACGGAGGGGAGCACCGGGTATTGTGGGTACGCATAAGAGTACCGTGGGTACTGTGTGGGGGCGTTGGGTAGGGGCTAGTCAGGGAAGGGTCCCTGGAGGAGCCGGCACCTGAGCTCAGATTTGCTTCGGTTCATTTCAGTTCAGTCGCTCAGTCGTGTCCGACTCTGCGACCCCATGAACCACAGCATGCCAGGCCTCCCTGTCCATCACCAACTCACGGAGTTTACCCAAACTCGTGTCCACTGAGTCGGTGATGCCATCCAACCATCTCATCCTCTGTCGTCCCCTTCTCCTCCTGCCCCCAATCCCTCCCAGCATCAGGGTCTTTTCAAATGAGTCAGCTCTTCGCATCACGTGGCCAAAGTACTGGAGTTTAGCTTCAACATCAGTCCTTCCAATGAACACCCAGAACTGATCTCCTTTGGGATGGACTAGTTGGATCTCCTTGCAGTCCAAGGGACTTCCCCAACACCACAGTTCAAAAGCATCAATCCTTCAGCGATCAGCTTTCTTTTAGTCCAACTCTCACATCCATACATGACTACTGGAAAAACCATAGCCTTGACTAGGCAAACCTTTGTGGACAAAGTAATGTCTCTGCTTTTTAATATGCTGTATACGTTGGTCATAACTTTCCTTCCAAGGAGCAAGCGTCTTTTAATTTCACGGCTGCAATCACCATCTGCAGTGATTTTGGAGCCCAAAAAATAAAGTCAGCCACTGTTTCCCTATCTATTTCCCATGAGGTGATGGCACCAGATGCCATGATCTTAGTTTTCTGAATGTTAAGCTTTAAGCCAACCTTTTCACTCTCTTCTTTCACTTTCATCAAGAGGTTCTTTAGTTCTTCTTCACTTTCTGCCATAAGGGTGGTGTCATCTGCATATCTGAGGTTATTGATATTTCTCCCGGCAAACTTGATTCCAGCTTGTGCTTCTTCCAACCCAGCATTTCTCATGATGTACTCTGCGTGTAAGTTAAATAAGCCTGGTGACAATAAACAGCCTTGACATATTCCTTTTCCTATTTGGAACCAGCCTGTTGTTCCATGTCCAGTTCTAACTGTTGCTTCCTGACCTGCACACAGGTTTCTCAGATTTGCTCGTGGACACAAAAGTGAGGTCAGGTGGCCCCAGCATAAGGAGCACAATGAGGAACCCAGCGAGTGGTGGGGGTTTGTGGCTTCCCCGCACCCTCACAACCACTAGAGCAGGTGAGCTAAGTACTTAGGGTGATGGATGACCTGGAGGCAACCGGAAGCCAGTGAAAGTGTTAGTTGCTCAGTCGTGTCAGACTTTTTGCGATCCCATGGGCTGTAGCCCTCCAGGCTCCTCTGTCCCTGAAGTTCTCCAGTCTAGAATACTAGAATGGGTTGCCGTTTCCTCCTCCTAGGGATGGTCCCCACCCAGGGATGGATTCTTTACCATTAGCTCCATCTGAGAAGGCCAAGGCATGTGTACTCCCGAGCTATAACCAGCCTAGCTGGGAGGCAGAGTGCTCCCCAGTATGAAAGCACCTCAAGACTGCTAAGGGGAAACTTTAGAGGTGCCTACAGGAGGCCTCTGGCTCTAGTGAGAGGCTCAGTACCCATGTGTGAATTGGCTAACCTAGCTATTTTTTCCCAAGGCATAGACTTGTTAGGCTCAGATTCCCAGACCTGGGAGCTCAGTGTCAGGGAAGCTTCCACCTATTACCACTCCCAGCCCTTCCCTCCAACACAAATGTGAGAAAATTTCCCTGTACTGAGTCACAGTTTTTGTCTGGGAACCCTTTGTAATGTCACTATCTCAAACACCTTCTGCTGTGGTTATACTCTGTTCAGTGTTTATTTTACAAAACCTCGTATCACTTGGTCATTTCCTGATACTCTTCCCTCCCCTCCTGCCCTCTAGGCTGCAAGCTGGTGTTTTATTTGTTTTCGGCCACACCGAACAGCACTCAGGATCTTAGTTCCCCGATGAGGGATGGAACCCGTGTCCCTTGCAGTACAAGTGTGGAGTTTTAACCACTGGGCTGCCAGGGAATTCCCTTGTGTGTTTTCTGAGGTATGGATTAACAGACAGTAGTCCTGTTTTTATTGAAAACACTTGTCCAAAAAAATCACTCAGAAAGCTCAGGAAGAATTCAAAAAACGTTTAACAAATATCAAACACACACAGGATAGAATCACTGTGAGTAGGGGGAGGGAGGGGTTGACTTGACACTCAAGAGCCTCATCACAAACAGCAGAGACTGATGGAGACCAAGGAGCCACACACACTGACACATGTGCAACTGCACTGCTCGATGAAGGGCAGGGCACAGGCCGGGTCTAGATAATGGTTTCTTCCTTCAGCAGTGTCTCCTTCTGTGTGCAGCTCAGTTCTCCTCCCAGACTATCCAGGTTTTCCAGGTACGAGATCTCTTGGGTGTCCTCAGTACTCTGGGAAATGGGCAACAAATGGCATCTAGGGCAGGCTATTTCTTGGATGAGGCAGATGGCACCTGGGTCACAGCAAAAGTTTGAGTCAGGAGAGAGAAAACGTGTGTCAAGCTCAGTGCCCCAGAGGTTGGAAATTCCCTCCTCTGACCTGATTCCTCTGGTCTGCACCTGCCCTCCAATTTAGAGTTTTACAGAAATATAAGGCAAAACAGTACATTGATGGACAAAGCATACAAATAGATGGATAAACTCAAGGAACCGTGGCCAGTGCTGGAAGTCATCTGAGCAACTGTCTAACCATTAATAGGTAAGAAAACCAGGTTTCAGAGAGGAAGGTCAAACACAAAGTCCAGGCCTCTTCATGCCCAACCCATTCAAAATTCTCAGTAGGTTTTGAATCCTGCTGGACGGAAGGAAGGGAGAGTGACTAGTAAGGAGCAAATGGAGATATCCTGACTGGATAAGAAACGCTGCATCACAGCTGAGACTGAGATAAAACACAGCTTCTATTTCCAGCTTTACAGTCAATGAGATACTCTCCCTCTAAACAAAACTTCTAAACATTTCTTCAAAAACCTATTTATAAATACATCATCAAGCTGGCATCAGAGTAATAAGACATTTTCAGAAGCCAAAACCATAATGATCTCAGGAATCTAGAGAGTTAAGCAAACACACAATTAGCCTTCACCTTGGAGACATCTATTCAACCCAGGTGATCCTGAGTTTCCATTCAGTTGGCCATTCAGGACATAGAAAATAAAAAGGAAAGCCCAGGTCCTGTGTGCAATGAGGGGATCTAGTAAGAGTCAACCACATGAAACTGGAACTTCAAAGTTGCCTGCATGGACTCAATTCACAAGCAGAGGCTAGCTATTATGTGGGTCTGCAGCTAGACTCATAGTACCTAAGTATTTTGATTGGGGTCCCAGGGTAGTTGTTGTGCACCCAGGCACCAGGCAGAAGCCAATGCAAATCCTTTTTTAAGGAAACACTTTAAATACAGGCCTCAAAGATCTTCCAAAAAAAATTTCAAGGAAAATGAGTTCACAGTCAAAACCCACAGAACAAAGCAAGGAACAAGGCACCACAAGCAAGAGCTTGTAGAAACAGAGGCAAGTGATTCAACTTTAAAACTTATAAGATACAGAATATAAAGTAAGTATGTTCAACATGTATAATAAAAATATATTTGGAAAAGAGATTTAAAACATAAGGAAAAAGTATAAAATGAGAGTTACAGGAAAATACAACGTCTAGTTATAACATAGATTCATTGAAATAAAAATTTAAAGGCTAGGTTAAATAGATCAGACACAGCTAAAAAGTGAATGGATAAAAATGAAGGTGTCGCTAGATACATTATTCAGAATGCAGCCCAGAAAGACATATTTTCTGTCTTTACAGAAAATATGAAAGAGAAACTGACAGATATGCAGGATAGAGTATTAGGGTCTAATAGAAGTCCTCCTGGTGGTTCCACAAAGGACAAAAAGGGGAAAAAAAGATATTAGGGAGGAGATAAAAAATGTTCTAGAAATGCTGAAAAAGACCACTCCTCAGCTTCAGTTCATGCACCAAATTGTATACTTTAAAATAATGCACGGATGAAAGAAGTAATAAGGGGAACGAGAAAACATTCGAAGTTGAACAACAAAAAATATTACATATCAAAATGAGAGCTGCAAATAAAGATGCAATTCTTAGATGGGGATTAAAGTTTTAAATGCCTACTTAGAAAAGAAGAAATAATCCATGAGCTTAGATCCTGATTTAGGAAGTTGAAAAAGGAACAGAAAAATAAACACATAAAAAAATTAAGTAGTGGGGAGGGAGGTTCAAAATAAGAGGCAAAAACTAATTAGGTAGAAAACAAACAAGAAGTTTTGTTTCAAGAAAGCTAAAAAGCTGATTCTTTGAAAAGACTAAAACAACTGATAAACCCTTGACAAACTTAGTAATGAAAAAAACAGAAAAATCAGGTATGAAAAAGTACACAACTACAGATGCAGAACAAATTTTTAAAATATTTTTGTCAATAAAATTTAAAACTTAGATAAAATGTATAAAGAAATATATAACTTGGCAAAACTGACTCAAGGAGAAATAAAATACCTGAATAGTCATAGAATCATTAAAGAAACTGCATCATTATCTTAAAAATTCTCCCATAGAAAAATACCATGCTCCTTTTACTGGAAAGCTTAGTTACACAATTAAATACTCAAGGTAGTAAAAATAAACAAAGCTTAGTTCCTCATATTAATATGGAGGAATCTCAAGATTATAATATTGATCAAACACAGCAAATTTCAGAAGAAAAAATACAGTATCATAATACTCATATTAAGTTTTAAAGTATGCAAAACTAAATAATACACTGTTTAAGGATATATAACCATGTAGTAAACATAACTGGCATAAATTTCAAAATAATTGATTCCTGAGGATAGAGAAGGTGAGAGGGGAAGAGCCACATGGTAGGGGGAAAAGCTTCAAAAAAACTTAATATTCTGACATATTTCATTAATTTTAACAAGCCCATTTTTTCCACATTTTAACATCTTGAAATAAAGATGTGCCTTACAAGCTATGAGCACCTTAGAATTATATTTGGCATCAATCTTTTCTTTCTCAGTGGTACATAAAATAAGGGTGTAACTTCTAAACAATGGACTTGACAAAAGATGGCTAGTTCTTAAATATATGCTATAAATACAGGTGTACAGTTTATAATTACTTTTATCTTACAGATATGTCCTGTTATATATTAAATGTATAATAAAATCTAGTCTAAATAGGTTATGATCATGGGTCAGGTTAATATTGTGGGAAGAGGATGAGGAGTAGGGACAAAATTAAATGGGATGAAGAACTTAGATGATGATGATAGGTAAAGAAAAAGGGATTCAAGTGAGGAATAAGATCACAGGTTTCAAGCTAGAAAGATAGGGATAGAAAGCCTTAGGAACCAGGATGGTGTAAGGGAGCATATGAAACATGCAAGTTTGGTTCTAAAGTCAAGGAAGATGGGAATGGGGAGGGTGAGGGTGGAGGACAGAGTTGAGGCAGGCCCTAGAGCAGTGCTGTCCAGCAGAACCACTGCATCCGCACTGTCCAATGTGGACGCCACTAGGCACATGACCATGTGGTTTTTGAATATGTGAGGTGTAGCCAATGTGACCGAGGAACTCAATTTCTAACTTCATTTCAATGTTAATTAATTAAAGTTACCTAGGCACATGTGGGGGCTTCCCTGGTAAAGAACCTGCCTGCAATGCAGGAGACCCAGGTCTGGGTGACCTGGGTGGGGAAGATCCCCTGGCAAAGGAAATGGCAACCCACTCCAGTATCCTTGTCTGGCAAATCCCATGGACAGAGGAGCCTGGTGGGCTACGGCCCGCCAGGTCGCAAAGAGTCAGACACGACTGAGTGACTAAACGGCGGCAACAGCCACATGTGACTAGGGTTTCGCGCAGCACAGCTCTAGAGCACCCACAGCTCCTGAATCCAGACAGAGGGCGGGGAGAGGGCGCCAGCCCCAGATCACTCACCAGCCACCATGAACAGAAGGATGCTGAAGCCCAGGACGTAGTAAGGCCACTGTATGGAGAGCTGCGGGGGGCTGGGCTTCACCCGCAGACTCTGGATCTCCAGGGCGTGCAGCAACAAGGCCAGGAAGGCACAGGCCCCTGCGGGGTCACGGGCAGGCCCCCTTGGTCTCCTCCTGCCCCCACTCCAGCCTTCCTGCACCTGCGTGAGGCTCCTTTCTCCTGCCCAGGCCCCTTCCCCTTTCAGAACCAACAACCTCCACCCCACACACCTGTCTCACCCTCCTTCCTGACTCTTCACAAAGCCCGTGTGCCTCGCCTCCCAGAAACCCCTTTCCCGGGCACCCTCTGTGCCTGTGCCCTGGGCTGACTCCAGATGGGCCCCTGGGTGTGATGCTTTGGGTGACACTCAACCTGGTTTTCCCACTGTGAGCGTTCCACCTCCTCCATCTGATGGGAGCTTCCCAGGGCAGGGCCTTGGTCAGCCTATTAAAGTTAGAAGGTTCTAGAGGGCAGAGATGGTCTCTTCCATTCATTCATCCAAGAAACATTTGTATTTGGTTTATAGCCTATATTTCAATTATACTGTAACTCTGTACTAGGTTCCAGGACAGCTGCTAGGACAGAGATGATGGGAAAGACCCCCAGAGAGATGTCACCAAGCCAAGGTGACGAGGGATGTGCCCTCTGGAAGTGCAGAGTCAGGAGGAGCCCCAAGGAGGGGGTGGCTGTGCCCTGGGCAACTTCACAGAGATGGAAACAGATGAGGGGGGCCCTAGAAAGTCCCTCTCCTGACCTCAGACAGAGACCACCCCCATCTTTGGACCCCTCCCCAAGGCTGGGGCCCACTTGCTGCTCCCCACCTGTGAGGAAACTGATGAAAGCTGACACAAAATTGTGCTTCCGGGTCCTCGGAAAGAGCTGAGACGCAAAGGACACCATGATGAAAGTGGTGAGGAAAGACAAGACGACGGCGGACAGCAGGGATACTCGGCCAAGGATGACATAAACTGCAGGGGAAGGCGGGAGGGAGAGCGGGCTGGCCCCCAGCACTCAGCCCAGAGGGCGCAGGCCCACCAGCCTCAGGTGCCAAAGCGTGGCCTGGGACCAAAGTTCCGACCCCGCCATGGGTAGACCACACATCATTAACACCTTCCCAGATGCCTACTTTCATCTAACCCCAAGAGACTGAGAGAAAATATCCTTTCAGTCGTGTTCAATTCTGTTCTATCTGCCCCCAGCAGTCCTCTGTCACCCCCCAAACCCCAAGCTGGCCCCACTTCCCTCTCCCCGATCCCTGCCTTCAGCCCTCCATACTGGATAAGGGTCGAGGCTTCCAGCACTTGATATGGAAGCAGTTCTCAAACAGGCCACTGAAGAACACTTCCTGGGACTCCTCGTTCACCAGCCGCACCCAGAAGGGGAAGATGGAGACCAGCAGGATAAGCAGGTAGCCCAGGGAAGTCAAGGCAGGGGCTATGGCCCAGGTGAGGCCCTTCACGTCTCTGTCCTCTATCGTCAGCATTACCTGGGAGAGGAACAGTGAGGGAGTCCCATGTGGCACCAGCTGATAGAGATGATGCCCGCAGACATGTCAGCAGATGTGGGACTCAGGAAATGTTTGTTTTGCTTTGATTAACCTTACAGACCTTCTTTAGCTGGCCTAACCAACACAGAAAACATTTTCTCTCACTAACTCACTGGGCGATCTTGAAATGTGTGGGGTCCCTTCTTTGAGCCTTGATTTCCACCTTGGTAAAATTTCCACCTCTCCCAGCTCTGAAGTTCTAATCTTTCAGTTCTGTTTAACAGCCCCCACCCCTACACCTCTCAGGCCCAAACACCAGTCTGCCCCCACCTGCACCCTATTTAGGGAAACAGCTCACCAGATCACCTCCCCCACCCCCCACAACTGGCCACAGAGCCTCTCCAGTCAGCTGTTAGCTGCTGTCTGCCCTTGGAGATTTCAGAATGAGGACCAGGCAGGTATTCAAACCAGAGCCTGGAGTGCCTTTACTCAGGGACTGGCCCTCTTGCCTCAGGACCTGGGGTTTAGAGGGACAGGGGTCCACCTGGTCCTCTGCTGAAAAATGAGCAGAAAATATACACACAGAAACTTTTAAAAATAGTTTTAGAGTTTCATAGACCCTCCTGAAGCCGTAGGCTCCCTCTAGGCTTGGAGGTTGAGCCCCGATCCCTCATAACTTCTCTATCACCACCAGCTGTCATCAAGGATGTCTCCCTAGAAGGAACACCTGTGAAATGGAAGGTAAGCACCGGCTGGATTTGGCTGTAGAAGCCGTGACTGTGTCCCAGCTTTATCACTCGCTGGCTGGGTAGCCTTAGGGAACTCACTAAAACTCTCAGGACCTTGGGCTCCCCATTTGGAAAAGGGAGGAGATAACACTTGCCCATTGAGGTTCTTGGGCGGACCAAGTAACATGCTGCGAACAAAGTGTCAAGCACAGTGCTTAGGGCCCAGGTGCTTGGTTAAAGATTCACCTAATCAACCTCCTCTCTGCCTTCACCGAGCCTGGCAGCCCTGAGGAATGAGATGGAGAGGGCCAAGGAGGGGGAGGAGAGGAGGGTCGTTGGAAGCCTGGGTGCAGCAGCAAGGGTGGGCCCTGTCTGGATGGCCCCCGATGACCATAGCCATGTGGCAGTGCAGGAAGGTGGCATCCGGAGGTCAGAAGGACAGGACAAGGGAGACGGGGACACCCCAAGACAAGAGCCCTTGCTTCTGCTGCCTCAGCAGACTGTGCCTGGCAGCACCAAGCTTCCCAGCTGCACACAGCAAGTGAGGGACTTCCCTTTCCTCTCAGCCCACGTGTGTGCCCAGACACTGGGGCCCCTCTGAGGCCCCCATGTGGACCCCTCACTGCAGCTGGGCGCAAGGAGCATCTCTGAGGCTTTGAGATCACCTGAGCACAACAGAAGAACTAGCTGGAGGGCAGAGGAAATCCACTGCTTATAGAAGAGTTAACAACTGTTCCTCTGTGACTGCTGTCAGAGCACTTGGGAAATTTCTAAAGCACTTTCCTCTTTCTGTCGTTCCCCAGTTTTTCTTCTCCCCACCTGAAAAATTTATCCTGCCCTCTCTGCAAAGCTACCCTTTGAGATCTCTCCACCCTCCGGGCAGTACTGATGAGTCACCCAAACTTCAGGGCCTTGGTTTCCTTCACTCTAAGAGGATAAAGTCACTGGACCAGAGAGAGTTGAGTCCTGGCTCTAAAGCTCTCCAGGTAGGAATCATGGCCGCATCTTGATCCCATCCTCTGCAGGGAATGCAGTACCCTGGACATTTTCAACTGATGCTCTGAGTCCCTTCCTATCCCCAACCCCCACCCCTCTGCACCTCAACTTGTCTAAACTGACCTCAGTGTCCCCCCTATTTCAATCACCTGCTCCATCACCCACATTCTAGTCTGGAGTTCGTGCTGGCTCCTCTGTTTCTCCCACACTTTCACCACATCAACCGTCCTCACCTTCTCAAATTTTCTTTCATAAAATCTCTAAAGCACCCACCCTCCTGCCCCCACACCCGCCATGACTCTCTCCACTCCTGGAACACCACAGTCACCCCACGCATCTCCAGCCTGGCTTTCTCTCCTGAGGGCAAGCAGGTCTCTTCCCCTTTAAGCCTTTTAAATCCCACATCTTCTGCAAACTTCAACTTGGTCCTTTCTACTCCCTGGACTCTCCCAGCCACCAGCCATTATCCATTCACTCCATAAAAATGAACTGTGTACTTACCGGGCGCCCCATGCCCAGCTTAGGCCAATGGGGAGAATCAGGGATGAAAAAAAGACAGGAACTCGCAGGCTCTGGGTAACTACTGGGGAGAAGAGACACATAAACTTGTCAGGCAGTACAGTGCGTTCCCCTCCTCGCCTGTGGTGACTCCAAGCTGTCCCCTGGCCCGCCCCAGCTGCTCTCCAGAGTGGAGGACCCTGCGGGCCTTTCTTCAAGGATAAGCCAGCCTCTGCATGGAGCTGCCCTCGGTGCTGGCTCTGGACAACTGGGCACCAGGGACATACAATCTGGGACACACTGGTATAAGCCAGACTCAAAGGACCACGGACATGTTACTATAAAGGGGGATTTGCAGATCCTCTTGTACTGATGAAAAAACATCTGGAAAGGAGAACAGACCGGTACAGGATGCCACAGTCAGAGTGGACACAGGGACCACAACCCTGAACGGCCACCCTGTCTCCTCAGCTCTTCACCAGTCACCACTGGCCGGCAGTTGGGTTTGGGATTCCCAAAGTACAGGAGAGGGAGACAGAAGGGGGTGGGAATAGAGGGTTGCCAACTTTTTACTTTGCCAAGAACTCAAAACAAAACGAACTTACTATCCTCTACTCTCACTGACGTTTCAATTATTTTGAAAAGGACCAATGACTGGAAGAGCTGCGTGCCCCGCCAGGCCTGGTTCCCGCGGGCAGAGTCTGTCTCCCTGCGCGCCAGCGCCCAGCCCGAGTACCCAGGCCCAGTGCAGCCCTGTCACCGGCCCAGGTGCTGCACAGCCCAGGTAAGTGTATTCCAGGCTGGAACCGGGAAGGGAGCTGTCTGGGCCCCCGAGAGCCTCACTCCCCACTTGTCCCACCAGCCAGTAATTTGAGGTCACTTGGGCCGAAAGTGACTTAGGCTGGGTGAGGGGTTCCTTCCCACGGACGACCCTCCTCGGTCCTAAGTGGCCCCCAAGCCCCAGTGACACTATCCAGACCCATAGCTGGGTCCTGACCTGGCCATTGGGCCCCAGATCCAGCCCCACGGCTCCCAACAGAAGGGTAATATTTGGCCTGGGGGGCCTCCTTCACGCCCTTCCCCTCCCAACCCGAGGCTCCACCTCCACTCGCCCCTCCCCACCGGTCTCCAGTCCCTACACCCGCCTCGGCTGCTGGCACAGCCAGCAAGACCCTCCTTTGCTGCCCACACCCCTCAGGCCAGCGAGAGGATGCTCGGTCTCCCCACAGAGCCCACTGAGCCGGAGCCCTCGGGGCCCCACGGCTGCGGGAACCTGGCCTCCCGGGCGGTTGTGGTCCAGGCTTTGCTCACCGGTACGCAGAATGGGGTGGGGGTGGGTGCACCCTGAAGTCCACCGGATTCGAATGCCAGCTCTGCCATCACCAGCAGGGTGCCCTTGGGGAAGTTACTTCTTCTTCCTGGGCATCAGTTTCCTCATCTGTGAAAAGGGCATGATCATAGTGACTTCTCCAGCGGGCTGGCTGGGAGGGGCTGGGAGACGCGCTGCGGACCTCGCGCGCACCCCCCATCCCCCCCCATCCCCAGTCTTTCCCTCGCCCTTGCCCTGCGCATGCACTCAGGCACACCCCCCAAACCCCCACCCCGCCCTGGCCGGCACAGTCCTCTGCCCTCCGCTAAAAAGGCTGTCTACACCTCTCCCAAGGCGGGCTGGTTTTAAACAGGCACTTCCAAGAAGAGGCACTCTAGCTCTTAGCCCTGGTGGTTGAGCCAGGGGGCTGGTTTGTGTGGCAAGGGGGGCCACACTTGGAGCTGGATAAGTCACCAGCTCCCTGTGCTTTGAGACTAAGCTCACCAAGGAAAGGCATTTGTAACTCATTAAGATTTTTAAGAACCAGGATCGTGTCTGGCACCTCCACACACCTCTCCACTAGCAGGCACATATTCAAAGACAACAGGAAAGGATGAGAACTGATGAACCATTAATTTATTGAATCACCTAACATGTGAGAGGTAATTATCTATCATGTAAAACAGAGCTTCCCTGGTGGTTCATATGGTAAAGAATCTGCCTGCAAAGTGGGAGACCCAGGTTTGATCCCTGGGTGGGGAAGATCCCCTGGAGAAGGAAACGGCACTCCAGTATTCTTGTCCGGGGAACCCCATGGACAGACGAGCCTGGTGGGCTACAGTCCATGGAGTCGCAGTCAGGCATGACTGAAGCGTCTAACATACATCATGTGAGGGGCTCATTGTATAATCAGTATTCTACCTGTCATAAGGTTCAGACCCCAATTTGTAAGGCCTCAGGCATGACAGGTCTTTCTTGGCTTAGTTGGGGAAAGGCAGAGTACAGATGGGAAGGCCTGGAACCAGGCCAGGGAGACCTCTCTGCCCTGCTCTCAGAGATGGCTTTTGATCCCTCCACCCCAGTGGCTGTTCTTCTCCAGGTGGCAGGGGAAATAGTCAACTTCTAGACTCACAGCCTCACTTTTAGTTACCCTCAGGGAAAAAGAATGTTTTCTTCACCCTATTCCCACCCCTACTTGGTTCCCAGTTCCCCAGGGATTCTGACTGACTCAGCTCTGGTTACAAGCTCATTCCACTCTGGCCAAAGAAGATGCATCAGCTGTGCCCCACAGAGGCCAAGCAGGTAGGATAATCTAAGAAGTTGAAGGTTTTGAGGAAGGAGGCAGATGGGACCCCCAGGGTAAAGCGATTTAGAGATTCATTCCTAATGGACAGAAACTCCAGGACAAGAACAGCAGGATATGTAAGGGAGGAGGCTGGGCCCTGCCCAGACGACACATTTCTTAAAGTCAGAAGACCTCCCTGACCACACATGCACAGAAAGGCTCCTTGGAGGCCAGAGGGAAGTGATGCCAAGGGATGTTCCCTATCCATATGCCTTTTCAGTAAAATCCATCTTGGCTAAGAGATGCGTGTGCACACACAGGAAGATCCTGAGATGTACCAAATATGGACCAGGCAAATCAAAATGATTGGCCAAAGGAAAACCGGAAGAAATGCCCCATAAAAGTAATTCCAACTGCCACAAGTGGGCCACTCATTGACTCTCTCTCTCTCTCCCTGAGTCTATCAACATGTACTGTATTTTTTCCCCCTCTTTAATACTTTGTTTCACTATTTTCTGTCTTTGTGGGAATTCTTTTCTGCAAAGCCAAAGGGTCAGGGCCCTTGTCACTGACCACTGGTCTAGTGGCTAGGATCTGGTGCTACCGCAATCTCTGGCTGGGAATCCAAGCCTCGCTCCAAGCAGTTGCAGGCCAAGGCCACTAGACATCATATCGGACCACTTATCTGGAGCAGCGAAAGAACATTCTAAAAAGGAAGAGGGATGGTGTTCTCAGAAGAAGGGAGAAATTATGGCAGACTGTAACAGCATCTTCATACTTTTAAGTATGACAGCACCCTGTCACACTTTTAAATGTCATTATACAGCAAATCCAAATCACTGGTATGATTATGCCCAGGCGACAGATGGAAAAACTGAGCCCCCGGTTAAGAACATGTCCAAACTATCACATGAATGGTTGCTAAGAAATCATGGACAATTACTAAAAACATTAGGCTGTGGAGGAATAGATTCTTCACATGGTGCTGAAGCTTATTCTCCTTAAATATTACTAATTGCAAAAGAAACGCATATCTTTATACAGAAGAGATCTGGCAGTCACTCCCTTAAGCCGGTAAACAAACAGTATTAGTTGGGGTAGAATAATCTCATGTCATGTGCCTCTTGAGGTGAGAGCAGTATGACGGAGGCATCGCCTGTGAGGTGCTCCTGCCAGAAGTGGATCATCAGGCCTCCAGACCTCGTTCCAGTTGAGAGAAAATACAGGGGGGTGAGGAGGAAGCTAATGCCACCTCAGGAAAACAAGGAAATCAATTTCATGGAAAGTTATAAAAGATAACTGTTCTTGACTCCTCCAGAAGTCAGTCATTTAAAAAAAAACAACAACAATGGTGGGACTCTTCTAGATTAAAATAATCTAAAGAGATATAAAGCCAAATGTAATGTGACTCCTGATTTTTTTTTCTGATTTGAAATAATCTAGCTATAAAACACATTCTTGGGACAACCAAGGAAAATCTAAATACAGACTGCATTTTAGATGGTATTATGGAATTTAATTCTTTTTCTTAGGTATGTTAATAGTCTTGTGATTATGTACAAGAATGATCTGACTCTTAGGAAAAGCATGCCATAGTATTGGGTTGGCCACAAAGTTCGTTCAGATTTTACTGTTACAGGAAAATCTGAACAAACTTTTAGCCAACCCAATACTCAGGGTGAAACTTACTTTCAAATGATTCGGGGTAGGGGGGGAACAAGTAAATAGAAAGCAAATATGGAAAAATGGTAATACTGTTTATCTAAGTGGAGGATATATAGGGTGTTCATTAGTCTACTCTTTCAAGTTTTCTGTATGTAAATCAGGTAAAAAGTCAGAAAAAAACAAAGAGACCTTGTCTGAGAACACACACAGCCAGAACCTGGACCTGGGTTTATCGTTCAGCCACTCAACACAAGTGCCTTCTCTAATGACAGATGTCAGGGGAGACGCACACAGTCCCTGCTCTCACCAAGCTTGCAGCTAGCACCAACAGGCAACTGATAAATCATTTTTTAAAAGTGTGACCAGTGCAGAAAGTAGTAGAGCATGCTGTGGGAAATACAGAGTGAGAACAATTCAGTCCAAGGGAAGATGTGCCGAGGCCCTTCTAGACAGAATCTTATGCCCAAACAGGGATTGCAATGTGCAAAGATTTTTACCTGCTCTCCGGCAAGAACTATTGTGCGTTGTACTTTGTACATATGCACCATTGTGCACAAACAGGACAAAAGTCTGACTTACCTCTATGACAGATGTTTTCTAGTCAATTCTAGTTCTGCCTACTTTTTTTTTTTTTACCCTTTGCTGGTCGCAACTCATTACAATAAATTAATTTTATGGCCCCACCCCTGCCTGAGTGGCTCTTGACCTACATTTGAACAATACTGTGTCCCTGAATTTCAGAATGACTGGCAGAAGGGGTAGCCACAGAGGGCTGGAGAAGTCGGTGGGCAGAGCTGGGAGGAGAAGGGTCTTGTTGATTTCAAGCCGAGGGCTGTGATGCACTTTTGTGGGGATGAAAGCAGTCACTTCTGGGTGCCACTGTGGAAATTTGTCTTCCTCCTCCTCCTATCTCCCTTTGTCCAAAGACTCTTCTTACCTCTTCAACCAGAGCATAGGAAATGCCTCTATGCGGGGGTCCCAAGGCTGTATTCAAGGGGCTGCCAAGCCAGCCCCTCCCAGGATCAGAAATTGAGAAAGTGTACATAAGTATCAGAAATTTAGGAAGTGTATGTAAGTATCGTGTCCTCAGGAAGCATTTTCGTGCTTTCCCAGGTCCAGAGTAGAGAGACAGACAAGGGAAGAGGGAACTGTTGGCTGGAAGGGTCAGTGGAGAGCCCGTGAGCTGCAGCTAGAAACTTCAGAGTTCTGACTCCCCTGGGTTCTGTATTTCCCTGGTCCCAGGCTCTAAAGGGAAAACCCAAGTTACCCAAACTGAAGTTTTACTGCATATAACACAACAAGAACCTATCAATAAGCAGGCTCATAGGGCCCCCACGCAACAGCTGGTTCCACTCCCAGTGCAAAGGTCCCTCCTACCACTCCTTCCATCTAGCCTGGGTCAAAAAACTCAAGGCTGAAGAAAAGTGGCCAATGGATTCATTAGCTAAGCCATTGACAACCTGGATATAATCAGTTTCAATGGAGCAGAAGCAGTGCCCTGTGCTAAGTGAATGGCAGTTACAAAGATAACAGCAACTGGTGAAAAAAAAATTTAAGGGTATGAGAGCAAAGCATGTGTATGACTAGAATTCAATCAGAGAAGGAAAACCATGATGAGACACACACAGACACACACACTCACACCCCTGACCCAATAAAGGCAAAGAAGAATCCAGGGGAAGGCAGACTAGTTTCAGGCCCAGCCCCAGTGAGGTGAGTCAACAGATCAGCAACAATATCACATGTGAGCTACAAAATCACTGCTGCCTCTCTTCTGCCCTATAACTGTCCCAAGAATCTCCCCTAGAGCCCAGACAGACTGAAAAACAGAAGAAAGGGGAAGTCTGACACATGCGGTTCAGTCTCCTGGATTCTGCACATAGCAAAGCCCATGACATGTGATACTGAGAAATTATTTGGCTTAGAAAACTGGCCCATTTATTTAAAGCTTCTATGACTTATAAAACAAAAAGAGATTCAGTAGTCTGCAGGATACTGAGGAGTGAAAATGGTGGCCCCAGAAAACCCAAGAGCCACTTCCATGTACAGTGACAACCAACAGGACAGGTGAGATAGAAGGAAACTATTGGGTTCAAGGGTCATCCTGCTGCTTTCCTGATCCATGAGTCTGAAGTCCCTTGGTTTGTTCTTCCCTGGAGTGGACCTAACTCATCCCATTTTCAGAGGATGACTGTAGAGATTTGAAAAACAAACCATAGAATCTCCCTCTGATGTAGATCCTCAAGATCAAATAAAAAGGTTTGATAAATGCAAACTAAAGGTTCCATTTCAGTCACCCCTCCATGGTGTTACTCTACCCCTTTTGCACCCCCTTCCGACACACAGCAAGGCTCTCCCATACCCACCATTCCCCCAGCGTGAACTGGCCAATGCTGAGTAAGGCGGGAACTCTGTCTAAAGGTTCTCATGCACTGAATGCATGAGAGATTTGTCTACTGTGTGGCTTCTCAGTTCTTAGTCAAAGGTGAACTATGACTGAAGACGGTCCACCTTCACTACAGACAGAGGTTTTCTCCCCAGTGCAAGTTCTCTGATGTTCTCTGATGTCGGAGCTGAACTCTGACAAAAGGCTTTACCGCATTCACTTCATTTATGGTTTCTCTCTTGTATGGGTTCCCAGGTGATGAATAAGGTATGAATTGTGCTTGAAGGTTTCCCACATTCTTTATGTTTAGAAGATTTTACTCCACTGTGAGTCTTCTGGTGCTGAATGAGGTACGAGTTGCAACTAAAGGCCTTCCCACATTCACTGCACTCATAGGGTCTTTCTCCAGTGTGAATCCTGTGATGTTTGAAAAAGAGTGAACTCCTACTGAAAGATTTCCCACACTCATTACAGCCATAAGGAGTCTCTCCTGTATGGACCCTCTGATGTTCAACAAGGTGTGAGTTCCGACTGTAAGCTTTCCCACAGTCGCTGCACTCGTAGGGTCTCTCTTTGGTGTGAACTCGCTGATGTTCTGTTAGATGTGAGCTCTGGCTAAAGGCCTTTCCGCATTCAGTACATTCATAGGGTTTCTCCCTAGAGTGGATTCTTTGATGTCGGAGGAGACTTGAGCTCCGGCCGAAGGCTTTTCCGCACTCGTTACACACGTAAGACATCTCTCCCGTGTGGGTGACCTGATGCTGGATGAGGTGTGAGCTGCGCCGGAAGGCCCTCCCACACTCATCACATTCATAGGGTTTCTCCTCAGTATGAATTCTTTGATGCTGAGACAGATTTGAACTATGGCCAAAGGTTTTTCCACATTCATGACACTTGTAAGGCTTCTCTTGCATGTGGATTTTCTTATGCTGAGTAAGGTATGCATTCCGCCTGAATAATTTCCCACAAACGTTGCACATTTGAGATTTCTCTTCAATAAGAACATATGACTGCTGGATGAAGTCTGACATATTACTGAAGTTTCGTCCATATTCATAGGGTCCCTCATGTTTGTTTTGTTCACATTCATCTCCTTCATGTGGTCGTGTCCCTACTTCAAGAGTTTTCTGCTTTATAATTAATTGATCCTCAGTCCAGGTCTCACCATCTGACAGAAAATACAAAAAAGGTATATGTAACAGTAAAAACTCCTGGTGGGAAACAGGATGATTAAAGTATTCCAGGGTATTTGGTTCAAAAAAGTATGAAAAATGGCCTTGAAATACAGGGGAAAAAACAGATACAGGCTGAGCAGATTTGGAGAAAGTGGTGAGTAAACAAAAGTGAGGATTTATATGAAGTACCTAATCAGACGAGTACACTGGAATTAGCAGAATAGGAAAACAGAGTCTGAGTAAAGTGAGATTTTTCTCAGAACTCAGGAAGGGTGATGCTGGGGGTTCTGAATGGAGAGAGGCAGGGACTGAGCAGATAAATCAAAGAGAACTTCACACAAAGTTTCTGTCCACATGGTACCCTGGCCATGTGGGTTGTCACCATGGTAACAGGAGATACTTCCCATAACCAGACACCAGCACCTTCCTCACTCCTGCTCTCTCTCTCCACATACAGATGCTCACATGCTCACTCACAAATGTGACATACTCAAGACCTTAGAGGAACCTTTTAAGAAGTGGTACCAACTGAGAGGATTTGCTAAAGAGAAGGGGAGAATAGGAGGAAATGCTTAAAATACAAAGCATGAGGTAGCAAGAAATATTTCCGTATCTATTTCAGCTCTATTCCATATCTTTCATATCTATTTCTAAGAGATATGAAACCAATAAAAACCAACTCTGCAGCCTAATTCTATCTAAGGGAGACAATGGAAAAACATCTGTTTACTGTATGTTTCTCCTCCTAAGTTTTACTTATTAAATATGACTGACTGTAGTGCAGTTATGTTACAGAAAGAAGGCCCTCTGCTTAGAGTAATCTTTCTGGAAGAAGGGGGTGCTGAGGAATATGCAATGTAGTACCACTTCCATCAGCAATCAAAGTAAAACACATGCAGCCCAGATTTTAGGAGGGAATGGTCATTGTCTTTAATTAATTTAATAATTGTCTGATATCAGAGAACCATATTTATATGTTCTCCACAAATGATGATATCAGAGAACCATATTTGTTTGTTCTCCACCTCCAGATATGTCCTCTTCTATACATTCCATTGGGATATTGGTTTTAATTTTTTTTGTGTGTGATGGGAACTTTTAAGATCTACTCTATAAGCAACTCTCAAAAATATACAATATAGTATTGCTAACTGTAGTCACCATGTTGTACCTTAGCTTCCTGGGACTGACTTACCTTATAGCTGTAAGTTTGTACTTTTGATGCCCTTCATCAAGTTCTCCCACTCCCCACACCCCACTTTCGGCAACACCAATGTGTTCTCTGTATGCATGAGTTTGGAGTTTTCAGATTCCATACACAAGTGAGGTAATGCAGTGTTTGTCCTTCTCTGACTTATTTCACTTAGCATAATGCCCTCCAGGCCCATCCATGCTGTCACAAGGGCATTATTTTCATCTTTCTTATGGCTGGATAATGTTCCACTGTATATAAAGAAAGAGTACGTTTTCATCCATTTGTCCACTGATGGACACTTAGGTTGTTCCATGTCTTGGCTACTGTAAATCATGCTGCAATGAACTTGGGGGTGCAGATATCTTTTCATGGTAATGATTTCATTTCCTCTGAATAAATACCCAGAAGTAGAATCACTGGATCATATGGTAGTTCTATATTTAATTTTATGAGAAACCTCCATAACATTTTCCATAATGGCTACACCAATTTACATTCCCACCAACAGTACAGGAGGGTTCCCTTTTCGCCACATCCTCATCAACACTTGTTATTTCTTGTCTTTTTGATAACAGTTATTCTAACAGGTGGGAATGGATTGCTGGTTTACTGTTTGTACGTCCCCTTGCATGTGTGTTTACTTACCTGCTAGACTGCAAGCTCCAAGGGAGCAAAGAGAGACTTAGATTTCTTCTCCATCTTCCTGATCTGGCCTCTGCCTGTTTTTCCAGCCTCATTCTGATCTTCTCCCACACGAAGCCTCTTTACTATCTGTTGAACCACTCTCATCACAACATGTGATGGCTGTGACGTTCTAGACAAGGTGCCTTTTTCTTGGCCCACTGCCCAACGTGGTTGAGAATGTCAACCTCACTGCTCTCAGGCCCTGTTCAACATCACCTCCTCCATGAAGCTGAAGGTGATCCTTGAAATATTCCTCAAGTCATGTAACAGTCACTCAGAACATTTTATTGAACACCAACAACATGCCAGGTACAGTTCCAGACTCTGAGATCCGTCAATAAGCAAAACAAAAAAATCCTCTTCCATTTTACTAAGGGAGATGGACAACAAACTACGCAAATTACATACCATTAAAAGACTATAAAGATGCTATAAAAGCAAAAAAGCAAGGAACAAGGATTAGAGTGCCTGGGAGAGTGGGCAAAGGGGATGCAATTTTAAATACCATGATCAAAGGAAGACTAAGAAAACGGCATTTAAGCAAGGACTTGAAGGAGATAAGGATTTCTGAGAAAGAGGATTACAAATAGAAGAAACAGCAACTGCAAAGGCACTGGGTATTCATGGAGGCAAGTGTGACTGGAGCAGAATGAGCGAGAGAGAGAGGAGTGAGAAATGAGGTCAGAGACATAAAAGAGGATCGGAGAACACAAGCCACTGTGGCCACAGGTTTGTAAAGAGGTTTTTCACTGAGAGAGATGGGAAGCCACTGAAGGGTTCTGACCAGAAGACAGGATCTGACACTTCAACAGGATCATGCTGGCTGCCATGCTGAGGAGAGACCGTGGGGAGGCAAGTGTAAAGACAGGACGACCAACCAGGCTGTGGCAACAGTCCAGGTGAGAGACGGCGGTGACATGAACCAAGCTGGCGGCAGAGGTGGTGGTAAGAAGTACTTGGACTCTGGAGAGAAATGCTGACAGCCACATGGATGGGATTCCTGACTGATGGATACAGGTATGAAAGAAACAGGGGTTTCCCTCTGGATTGAGTAGCTGGAGGGATGGTGTTACCATCTGCTGAGATGGGTGATGAAATGGGCGGTATTCGTCAACCAGCTACAGCATCTCCAATAATTAAAAACAAGATTTCCAAGTGGCAGCTGTCATACCAGTCTCCTGAGATCGATTGTCCCAAACTAGCACATACACTTCCGGTGTGTGAGTACTTGGTATAATATTCTTCAACTCTCCTGTAGCTTTAACATTTTTCAAAATTAAAAAAAAAGGGGGGAGGCGGCGACAGTGACCAGTGACTCTCTTCTCTACTCCACATTCACTCAGTAAACAACAGTATTCGTTGCTTCTACCTATGACGTACTGCTTGAGTTTTTGCCCCTGCCTTCCTGTTATTACTGCGAATGTGCTCAAGTCAGATTCTAATCACCTCTCACACTAAACAGACCAGAATCTCTTCCTTGATCTGCAAAGCTCCTCTGCTAGCCTCCTGTTAAGCAAAGTTTATGTGCTTCAATCTCTGCCAAACAAAATCTAAACTCTTTGGCCTGGTGTCCATCTTCCACGATCTTACACCACTCTGCCTTTAGTCATCCTCTATCAGTCTACTCTGTGCTCCAATTACTCCAACTGTTCCCTGAACATTTATCTCCCCACACAGTTCCTTCTCCATTCAACTTTCTACCTCCACCTGCTACAGGTGGTTTCACTGCCGAGGGGCCAGGTTCAATCCCTGGCCGGGGAACTAAGAGCCCACAAGCTGCATGGTGTGACCAAAAACAAAAAAAGAAACAGGTGGACAAACAGGAGTGGGAAAGACCCTGAGAAGGCAAGAGATAGAATCAGGAGAAAATGGTGCTTCCTAAACCAAAGAACAAGAGTTTCAAAGAACAGCAATCATGTCAATAAAAATACTAAGGGGTCAAAAAAAAAATTAGGGCTGAAGGAAAAAAAAGTGTCCAATGGATTCATTTGTTAAGCTACTGGCAACCTGGATATAATCAGTTTCAACGGAGTAAAAGCGGTGCCCTGAGCTAAGTGAATGGCAGTTACAAAGGTAACAGCAAGTGGTGCAGGTTTTTTTAAGAGGTATGACAGCAAAGGGAACAAAGGTGATTACACCTCTACTGCTGCATCAACCACCAAGGCTTCCATGAAACATCTCTAGCATGTGTGTGTTTCCTTCCTGGCAGCCACCAGTCTGTTTCCGGAGCTTGAGGGAGGCCTCTGCCCTGCACTAAGGTGTCATGCGTGGGACGCTGGGATGTGTGTGGTTTGGGGAGGTAGAGGATGTAGGCAGCAGCGACGCAGAAAAAGGACACAAAGGCACAATAGCGGGTGAAGCAGAGTGTTTTTGGCTTCTCCTTGTGCAGACACACCAGCCTGGCTGAGCCTGTATGGGGAAACACGGAGACAACGTTTAAAGCTGGGTTCAGATCACGCTGCAGAGGACCCTGAATGCCAGGGCCCGAATGCCAGGTTACAGAGAATAGACTGTATACAGTAGGCACTGTAAACTAACATAAATGAGCATTTTAGGAAGGTAAATAAGGCACTTGACCTTAGAAAGATGACCAGTGAGGAGCCTGTGGTAAGAGCCTATCCCTTCTGACCTAAAACCTGATTCTTTTCTTACTCTAAATTCTTTCAAGACCAAACATATGACTTTCTAAGGCCTCCAGGGCCAATATTCAGTTGACAAGGCTCTCCCTTGTGAACTTCCACATTGTCTGTTATCCCATAATCTCTCATAGATAACTATTTCAACTCAACTCTAAGCTGGTGGCAGGGGTTAGGTTTTCTTTGAACTTAGTACCTTATAATAACAATTCAATAAATACTTGAGTTAAAAATTAGCCTAAAACAGAATCAGAGGCTAAACATGTAAAATAAAGTCTCCCAAACATAAACTTCTCAAAATCCATGCTGTGGATTATCTAAGCCCTTGTCCCTCAATTAAATAATCCAAATCCACTTTTTTTAAAAGGCCAAGCATATACCAGATACAGCTTCCCAGGTGGCATAGTTGGTAAAGAACGCGCCTGCCAATGCAAGAGACACAAGAAACCTGGGTTTGATCCCTGGGTCAGGAAGATCCCCTGGAGAAGGAAATGGCAACCCATTCCAGTATTCTTACCTGGAAAATTCCATGGACAGGAGCCTGGCAGGCTAGTCCATGAGGTCACAAAGAGTCAGACATGACAGCACACACATGCGCGTGCTACACACACACACACACACACACACACACCCCAGATAATGGGGGGGATGGCAGATTGAAATTTAAATGCTGATGTCTACAGTTTAATCTCATTTTTCCATCAGCGGGGTGGCTGGCCTGTCTACTGTACTTCACAGTCAGGGCACTCTCCTGAAGTTTATATCCTAGGTGGAAAATGTATCTTTCCTAATGATGAAAGACAGCTTGCCAAGAGAAGCCCAGTCTTTTCCTGTTATTCGGGATACAGGACACACTTGGCTGGGTTCATTCACTTATCTACACAACAGTTCACTGAACCTCTCAAAGGCCAAGCAAGTTAACAGGTGCTGGAATGACAGATCCGAAAGACTTAGGGCCATGGACAGGGCTGCTGTAGGTCTGCTCCACAGTAAGAGAGGAAATATTTACTTCATTTACATGTAACAGAGCTTTAGGTTAAAAAAAAAAAAAAAAAAAACATGTAACAGAGCTTTAGGTTAAAAAAAAAAAAAAAAAATCAGTGAAAAAAAAAAAAAAAAAAATCAGTGCCTCGCACCAGGATAATTCTAAGTGCACGGTTAAGCATGTCCATTTGATCTGAGGCCCTCAATGGAAAGGACAAACTTTAGAAAAAGAAAGCAGCTAGGTCAGCTCCTCACCCGTGGTCTTTCGAGGCTCCTGCTCGGGGGATGGACACGGGGAATCCAGGGACATCTGCTCGGGCGTCTTCTCCATGGGCTAGGTCCAAACCCCGGCGCCGCTCCAAGGCCAAGGTCTTCTCTAAAAAGTCTTCAGAACCCGACACAGGGGAGAGGCAGCCACTTCAGGACAGAGAGCGAGAGGGGACAGATGTAGGGGAAACAGTAGGTGCCGCTTCCCAAGAGGCTCCCCGCCGGGGGTCGGTCGGAGGAGCCCTGTTCTCCAAGCAGGAAGGCTGGGCCCCGCCGCGGGGAGCGCCCGGCCGGCAGCACGCCCCACCCCGGTCCCACTGGGGTTCCCCCGGCCCGACCCTCTTCCGCCGCCCCGCGGACAGCCGGCCCGGCCCAGTCCGGACACTCACGCCCTCAGCTGGCCGAGAGCAGCAGAGTCCGCCACCACGGCCTCCGGGGAGACCGGAAACGCGGCTTCCTCGACGCGCACTTCCGGGGCCATCTAGGCAGCTCGGAGGTCTAATCTCGGTCGCGAGTTCCCTAAGGGCCCCCTGCGGGGTTGGGCTCAGAGGAGTCTTGTGGGGACTTCCTTAGGCGTTTGTCCTCCTTCCCGAGGAGAGACTGAAGAAGGATGGAAGAGATTTCTTTCTGACGCTCATTGCCTAGGTGGACTTAGGACCTAAATTGGTTGTTTCTTCTTTCTCATTCCCGTGTGCACCCTCCTCCGCTCTGCTCCACCCATCTCCACACCCCTTCTTTCAGATCACAGGCCACGATGACCCTGCGGGCCTAGAACCTGTTATGTACTCCCTCCGTCCAGCCCGTTGTGGCTTCAACCCAGCCTCCCTGTTTTGCCTGGATCACACGAAGAGGAGGAAATGGGTGAAAGAGGAAGAAAAACCTTAGATACAGGGTCAAGATCCAAACGCCTACTGCACCTGGAGTACTGGTTTGCAGAGGCATATCTCATATGCTGAAGCAGGAGAAAAGGTTAAGGCAATGAGTTGTTCATGATCAAAGATTCTCCTGGTAAACTGAAAAACGACAGCCACCAATTGTGGAGCACTGAAACTGACATCCCATTAACCTTCACAATCCCACGAAGTTGGTATTTTTACTATCCTACGTGCCAGAAGTGGCAGTTAGTGAGGGAACTAGAGGCAGGATTCAAACCCTGGCCTGTTCAAACCAGAGCCTGGAGGCTAACCACACTCAGGAAAGAAAAATGAAGGAAAAGTGGGCGGAGTATTGTAACATGAGAAACTGCTGGAACGAAAAACTTGTAATTACGCCCGAGTTGTAAAATTTATAAACATGGGTGAAATACAAGCATAAGAGGGTAACCATTTTCTTGAAGTGAATGGGATGAGGCAGCAAAATAATTCGAAAATATTTTCTCCTTGATTTGTACAGAACACCATCTATTTGAAACCCTTCTTAGATTTGTCAACTACAAATTGGCACTTGTCAAGAGCATTTGCCAGTGACTGAACACCAAGGCCATTTGCCGTCTGCCAGTGCTGCTGCAGTTGCTGACCTTCAGCGTTCCCTGAAGGGAATTCAGGGTGGAAAGTGAAGCACTCTACTGGTATAACAGGTCTTTATCCAGATATTTTTAGGAACTGATTTCACGATCCCAATCTTTGCATCTCCTCGTATCTAGAAAAGTACTAAATCCTTTCAATGATATCAGCTCCTCCTGACTAGCAGAAAGCCTTTTATAAAATGAGTGCTTCATTGCATTGAAATCCCCCTGGAGAGGGAATGGCAACTCACTGCAGTCTTCTCGCCTGGAAAATCCCATGGACAGAGGAGCCTGGGGGACCCCAATCTGTGGGGTTGCAAAGAGTCGGACACAACTGAGCGACTCACACACACACACACACACACACGCACACCCTTCACCAAAATCTTACATATTGACCTACCCCCACTGCTTCTTTGGAGCAGTCTCTCAGAGCTATCTGAGGTGATATCTCCCGGGCTGCAATCAGCATTTTGCCCCAAATAAAACTTAACTCCCAACTCTTATGTTGTATATCTTTTTAATCGACAGATTTAACACTGGCTCCTTCATGCACTCAAATCTTGAAAGGAGTGTAAGACATAATGCCATATGATACAAATGTTAGAGACACATCACTGTTTGCAGACTCCAGCAGGAGTTGCCCATCAGAAGGCATCTCCTACCACACACAGCCCACAGTGCCTAATGATTTCTCTAATTACATTAAGTTCTCCAAAGCTGAGTGCCGAAGAATTGATGCTTTTGAACTGTGGTGTTGGAGAAGACTCTTGAGAGTCCCCTGGACTGCAAGGAGATCCAACCAGTCCATCCTAACAGAAATTAGTCCTGAATATTCATTGGAAGGACTGATGCTGAAGCTCAAACTCCAATACCTTGGCCACCTGATGCAAAGAAGTGACTCACTAGAAAAGACCCTGATGCTGGAAAAGATTGAAGGTGGGAGAAGGGGACAACAATGGATGATATGGTTGGATGGCATCACCAATTCAACCAACACGAGTTTGAGTAAGCTCCGGGAGTTGGTGATGGACAGGGAAGCCTGGCGTGCTGCAGTCCATGGGTCGCAAAGTCAGACACGACTCAACGGCTGAGCTGAACTGAACTGAAGCTCAGGGTGTCCCTCCCTGGACAATGCTAGTCCTGTGCTGGTAAATACTTGTTCATTCCCTCGTTTTTAGATTTTCTGCTAAGTATCTCTACTGTAATATGGTGGGTTTGATATTATTTACACTAATAACTTTTGGGCACTTACTATACAACCAGTAGCTTTTACATTATCTCATTTAACATTCATGCTATTATTCACCACACTGTATAGCCAAAACTAGGAAGGCTAGGGAAAATGTCCAAAGTCATAGCTAATAAAGTTCAAACATAGGTATGCCTAATTCCAAACTCATTGCTTTGACTAATCTTTTTTACTCAATGGATTAATTCATTTGATTAGGTTAACTGTATCCATTGGCTAGCACTAAACATACTGTCTGGCAACTGTATGACTGAATGAAAGGACATACCAGGTTATATTTTTTAATGTGAGAAATTCCAGTTCCTGAGATAACATGCTAGGGGCTTCCTTTGAACTTCATTCTTAAATTCTCAGTTACCCATGTAATATCTCCTAGGGTGAGGCATTCTCCGAAGAGCTCACTTATTACCGCCTTGAAAATGCCACACTCCTTCCTCTGCAGAACTTCTTAAAACACTCAGTGCTCTCCATCTCTCCAGTCTACCTCTATCTACTCTTGCTCAAGCCGAAAACCTAGGACTCAAATTTGATGTTCCCATTGTTCACTTTGCTCCACCGCTGAATATAACCAGAGGTGGTAACAAACTTTGGTAAGGATATGTATCCATCAGTAAGTTCTAGTTAGCAGAAAAAAGTGAGTGCATTTGGGGCACAAAGAAGTGTAAATATAAACCTACTGATGGCACTGGGGATGTCTTAGCAGGAGATGGGAATTTGGGAGATCTAACCCATGGCCTGACTTTGTCAAAACCGTCTAAACCTGCTTTAAAGATTGGGGGTGAAAACAAACAAAAAAAGACTGGGGGTGGGTGAGAGAGGGATGGTTCTACCTAGCTTCCAGAAGATACTGGGGTATTTTCTTCCAGCTTCCTAGAGAGCTCTGGGAACATTTAGGATCAGCTGACAACTGATGGTGAATCAAGTATGTAACAGGGAATGAAGAGCTATCAAAGAAAATGTCTCTTCTCAAAGATGATGGAAAGCTTTAGAGTCAAACATCCCTGACTTTGAGCTTGCTGTGTGATCCTATAGGTTCTTCTCAATCTCTACACTTCAGTGTCTCCGTTAAACAGTTTCTTCCCTTAAAGAGTTGTGAGGATTATTCAAATATGTGCATATATACATAGATGTGTACACAGCAGGTGAAGAGACAAAATTAGGTGTCCCAACTATTAGATTCCTTCTCTTCCTTCCCTGTCTTCAAGACTAAAAAGACTAAGAGCACATATTATATTGGACCAATTAAATATCAACAAGCTTAAATGGACAAGTTACTTGTCCTCAAGGATTATTTTGATTTCTCACTTTAAAAGAATTTTTTATTGAAGTTGAGTTGATTTACAATGTTGTGCTGATCTGGTTTCTCATTTTTTTAAATGTTTTATTGAAAAAACACATTCTGCCTAACTCTACTCAACCCATTTACTTCATGTGCCAACAGCATCCCAGTCAAGTAACCCTTTAAAGTTGTAAACATAAACATTCAGACTTTATTCCAGAGTTCTGTGGAGGACCAAGCACTATACCTGCAGGAAGGAGTGACCTACTCCTGCTGTGAGTCAGCTTTCTGGAAAGAACTGAGTTGCAGACAGGAAGGTGATTCTAAGATTCCCAAGTACTTTGGGCTGAGGACTTCAGATTTTATTTGAAACAGGTTCTCAAGAGTATCAAACACACCTTTATTCAAGTGGAAGTACAAAAAGCACATTCCTAAACCAAACGCATAACATGTGATTTTTACATTTTCTGCTATTTGAGATTACTCAACCTGCTGTTTCATAATCACCAGAGGTGACTACTGGTGGTCTCTATTAGTAGGGTATACATGTTCATAGATAGGAAAGAAAAAAAAAACATGCATTTGTTTCCATATGCTTTTATATTTATATCAATTCATTTTGGTCCCTACCTTGTCCAGATGAGATCCTATGCTTGCTGATGGCTACAAGGTAAAATACAGTGGTAGAACTACCCTAAAGCTTATTAGGCAGAAGAGGCTTACAAAGTAAGCAATGCATTTTTGTATTACTTGTTGAGGATCCCTAGTAAGTATTTTAACAGGTGAACTCAATCGCTGGAACAACAACTAGAGTTTTAAATAACACTTGCCTTATTCACAAAATGTTATGATGCTTAAGATGGGAAAATACAATCAAATACTTTGACATTATCTGAAGAATCATGAACTCTTGCTAACTGTTATGACAGTGACCCTGATCTGTGGAGCCAACGTCTGTGATCAGTTTCATCAATCAAAAGAAAAAGGTTTTTATATGGCCTGTAGACTCTTGTAAAATACAACATATATATATATATATGATATGTAAACAATTCCAAACAGATAATGAAGCAACCGTAACAGTTAAATGTTTACAGGCTTTTCTGCCATTCTTGAAATACTCTTGAGATACTACACAAAAACCGCAGTATCTGAAGGAAGTCAGTATTCCTTTATGTAGATCTCTGATCTCTTAACATATGTTCTTTTATGTTTTGCCCTATCAAAGGCAGACTTGAATGTTCTGCTGGCCTTTAATGGACATAAATCATCCTGAACTTAGACATGCAGAATAGACACTGAATATAGCTAGGCTACCACCAGTATTGTCAGCTTCTACTGTCTTTCTCATCTCTCTCAGAAGGCTGTGAATGCTAACAAGCTAAGAACTTGGGCATCACTTGAAAATGTTTAGCTTCTTGCCACAGACTCAGGGGAAACAGAATCCTTCATACTCATGAACAGACAAGAGTGTGAAAATCCATTTCTTTTAAAGATATTTTGCTTTGGAAAGAAGACACCCAAAAAGTAAGTAGGGATGGCATACCACTGGCTTAAAGCTTAAAACTAGGAAACCATCACTGAAGGTGCTTAAGAGAATGGAGAAACCAACAGGAATCCAAATGCTGTGGCGGGAAAGGATTAGGATCCTCGGAAAAGAGCAGGCCTAAGAATCTGTTTTGGAGAGAACTTTGGCTGAGAATAGTAGAAAAAGCTAAATGAGAGAAACTTTCCAGAAGTTACTATTTTAACGTTGGTGTATTAATGTATCAGGGAAGCATTTACTGGACAATAAAAACCAATTTCAGGAAAAACAAAAATGTTTATAGGCCACATTAAAATAAAAATAGCTTGAGTTCCATAAATAAAGTATATTTATAAAATAAAGTTCCAAAAATAAAGTATAACACCTATTAAATACAAGAATGCCATGAGAAAACAGCACTGCATTCACCAAATCACTCCTCTGACTAGTCTTCTCCAGGGAAAAAGACTGGGACTATGTATTAACTATTTTATACACAAATAATAATTTTCCCTTCAATATTTTGATATTGAATAAAGCCTGAAATATGGTGCTAAATGCTTCCACTTGCATTGTATCAGACTCCAGTCTGGTGTGGACATTCTGATGATGAAAAAGGACTTGAACTCCTACTGAAAGACTTGTCACATTTCCTATACCCAAAGGACTTCCCTTGGGTATGGATTCTTTGCTGCTGAATGAGGGCTGGAAATATGGCTGAATCCTCCCACACATAAACATTTATTACATTCATAGGTATTCAGCATGAAATGAATATGATGCTCAACAAGGTAGTTTCTTTGACTGAAGGCTTTTTCACATTCATTATAGCAATGGAATTTTATTCCAGTATGAATTCTCCAATGACACTAAGGTACGAAAATAGCATGAAGCATCTATCACATTCAATGTATTTGTAGGTTTTCTCATTGGTATGGGTTTGCAGGTGTCAAGAGTGCAACACTAATAACTTTCCAAAGTTTGTCACATTCAGGTTTCTCTCTGGTATGAATTCCTTGATGCTGAATGAAGGTTGAGCTGGGACTGAAGGCTTTACCACATTCAGGACACACGTGATGTCTCCCTGGTGTGACATCTCATATGTTGAATGAGGCCTGAACTTGATTAAATGTCTCCCCACGTTCATTACATTCATAAGGTTTCTCTTTGGTATGAATTCCTTGATGGTGGACAAGGTGCGCTCTCTGACTGAGGCTCTTTTCCCACGCATCACAATCAAAGGCTTTTTCTCTGGTGAGGACTTCCTGTTGCAGGACAAGATCTGAGCTATGGCTGAAATTATCCTCATAATCATTACACTCATAGGATTTCTCTTTCCTATGAACTTTGTGATGCTGAATAAGGCATGCGGTTTGACTGAAAGCTTTTCCACTTTCACTAGATTCATGCGGTTTCTCTGTGTGAATTCTTTGATGCTGAATAAGATGAGAATTCAATCTGAAGTCTTTTCCACATTCATTACACGTATAGGGCTTTTCTCTGGGACGAATTCCTTGATGTTTAATAAAGGTCAACCCACAGTTATTGTATTCATAGGACTTCTCTTCATCATGGACCTTCTGATGTTCAGCTAGGTGTGAGGTGTGACAGAAATCACTGCCACACACGGTACACTTACAAGGCATCTCTCTGTGAACTCTCTGATGTTGAGTGAGGTGTACACTACGACTGAAGACCCTTTCACAACTGCTACATTTATAAGATTTTGCTCTAGTGTGAACCCTCTTATGCTGAAGTATGTCTGAGCTCTGATTACAAGATTTGTCAGACGCCTCACAGGATTTATCAGATGCTTCACATTTATAGGGTTTTTCTCTAGTGTGTATTCTTTTATGTCGACTAAGACTTGAACTCTGACTGAAAGACTTTTCACATTCTTTACATTTGTAGGGTTTCTCTCTAGTATGAATTCTCTGATGTCTAGAAAGGGCTGAGCTCTGATGGAAGATTTTCTCACATGCATCACATTTGTAAGATTTCTCAGTGGTAGGAATGCTCTCACAGTTACTAAGGTGGGAGAGTTCCATTAAACTGTCCTTATAATCATTACTGTGAAAATCCTGTGTTAGATTTATGTGTTCCTGTTTACCAGCTGAATGCTGGTTGAGACTCACATCATACTTATCAATGTCATCAACATTCTGTATTCTAAGAACTCTCTGATCTGTATCAAGAGTAGAGTCCAGACTGAAGCTTTTTTCAAGTTCATTACATTCATTGTTCTTCTCACTGGTGAAGGTTTTCTTACTGATTGTTATTTGCCTAAACTCTTTCTCCAGGAACAGAAATTTTCTTAGGATTTCCTGAAGCCTTTCTAATCTGTCCTCAGGCTTATACACTTCTCTAGTCTCAGGAACTTGGGCAATATCCTTTTTGAATCTTCCTACTCTCACTTTGTATGAATGTACTTCTTCTGGAATTTTCTGCTTAGGAATCAACAGCTTGTTCTCTTCTCTGGTCTCTCCATCTGATTCAATATATAAATAGAAAATGCAAATATAATCTGTACCCTGTGCTTAGAAAAAGAAAACTTAGAGGAGAAAACTAAATAATCTACAGTCTACAAGGGTAAGAGAAGTTTATTTACTTTGAAACAGGCACAAAATCTCAACAGCAGATGTATGGGCATGAATACGAGCAGTGAGGCCGGATCCAAGTGGTTCAGGGTGTGATAGAAACAGAGGGCAGGTTCAGCAAAGTAAGGAGATAACCAATTAAGGTGTTTCAACAGAGACAACAGGCAACTAGTTCAACAGAATTATAAATAAGTAACTTGAATAGGGACCTACTACATCTTATGGATAAGGAACAAAATAACTGGAAAGAGTTCATCAATAAAAAAGGGGAAAGGAAAGAGCTCTTCATTCAGGGACATAGACAGAGCTCTTCACTGACTTCCAAAGCAGCTACAGCTTGGCTCAACAACTAGACTCTACTTCCCAACTAGTTCATCTGATTGATTCTGCCTTACTCACCTGAGCAGTCATCTCTTAAGACTTCTCTATTCTTAGTTTCCAGATCAAAGACTTGTAGATCTTGTTCCAGCTGGGAGATCCCATCAGGCTTGAAAATTGGAAATCCTGCTCACAGAGAAGGAAATGGGATGTGGCAATTTATCCCCAGATACTACAGTTTTCTCTTAATTAGTGGTTAATGGAGAGAGAGTAAATTCTTAGAAGACATTAGGAAGGCCTGGAAAGTGAGAAAGCCAAAGACCTTCAACACAGAATGCATGTTTGTGCTCTAGAAAGAGGTATGCTAAGGGGCAAGCTAAGGAGCATTTAAACATACTCAGTTAAAAATATTCATTTAAACATATTCAGACCAGGGAATTTGTGTATTGAGTGTGTACCTGTCTTCACAGAAATTATCATTCTTACTCTTTAGCTATTGCTTATAGATCAATCTTTGTATCAGACCCGATCTATAAGTATTAGACCTGGTCAAACTGAAGGTTGTCAAAATATGACTCTGCTGGACTAGAGGAAGGTCAATTCTCAGGCACCTGTTGTATGGTGAGCTAAACTGTAGCAACAAAATCAGTGAAGACTGAATAAATACTGCAAGGATCAATTTCAGGAAATAATTCATTTTAGGGCATATGAGGAAACAAGTAATAATATGACACATCCTTACCCCTTAGGAGAACTCTTGTTCAACAAATGTTTATGGGGTGCCTCCTATATGCAAAGTATGTAGGAAATAAGAGCCCAAGCAGATACAGTCCATCTTCTCAAGGACTTTACACTCTAATTGCAGAGACAGAACAACTTACTATAATATTATGTAGTGAGGAAAGTGCAATAAACGTGCATTTTCACATAAAATAGTCTTTCTCTGGCTTGCATAATGGACTGCTAAAATCTAGTCTCTTTTAAAGCAAAAGCAAGAGGCAGTCTGCCTCTGAGGGGAGAACTAATACAGTCTCAAAGGGTCAGTTTTCACATGTACTCAGCCCACAAAGCGTCTAGTAGCACACATGCAAGGTCTCACTCAAGCCCCTCGTCTCCAAAAGCCTTTCTCTTCACTTACTGAATGTCCACAGAAAGTATTATTTGTTCCTATCCTGTGCTGTGCTGTGCTTAGTCGCTCAGTTGTGTCCGATCCTTTGAGACCCCACGGACTGTAGCCCGCCAGGCTCCTCTGTCCCATGGGGATTCTCCAGGCAAGAATACTGGAGTGGGTAGCCTATCCCTTCTCCAGGGGAACTTCCCGACCCAGGAATCAAACCAGGGTCTCCTGCATTACAGGCAGATTCTTTACCAGCTGAGCTACCCGGGAAGCCCCCTCCTATCCTGACACATCTTTATATAATGGAGTTTTAGACTTTTAAAAACTGTTTCTTGGTATTATCATTCCTATTTGATTTATAAACTTTGATAGCAGGGACCCTGTACATTGTATCGTGCACTTCTTTTGACTCATTTACTTAAGAGCTACTCACTGACTGCTAATTTTGTGCCTAAGTGTCAACAGATAATCAAGGTTTTAAAAAGGGTGCTGGGCCTGAAAACTATGATAAACCAATAGCTGTCCTATGAGATTCCATGTGAGAGTCTATGAGCAGGGAGACCAGAATAGATATAAGAAAGGCATTTACTGTGTTTCTGAATTCTCCTGGGCATAAATAGAGTCAATTCTCTTTCTGGACACTTATTAATTTAGTAAAGATCCTCTATGTCAAATCTAGTAGTTTTTTCAAGTTTAAAGGGGGGGGGGGGAGGCATGAAGCAGCAAATACCCTGCTCAAAATTCTGATAACACAATTGGCAACTTTTAATAGATATTTATTAAGATATTTCTAAGTATTTGATAATCAAATTAATTTTCGTTACTCTTTGAAGTGAAATGTGAAAGCTTTAGTTGCTTAGCTGTGTTTGACTCTCTGCAACCCCATGGACTATAGCCCACCAGGGCTCCTCTGTCCATGGAATTCTACAGGCAAGAATACTGGAGTGGGTTGCCATTTCCTTCTCCACAGGATCTTCCTGATCCAGGGATCGAATGCAGGTCTCCTGCAGTGCAGGCAGGTTCTTTACCATTAGAGCCACCAGGGAAGCCCCTCTTTACTCTGCATCTACACTTAAATCACATACGCACAATGAAAAAGATCGTCTTCATGTGGGATTGAGGGTTTGATTTTAGACATATGTTTAAAGTAAACACCTTTATGTAGGAAGGTATAAGAGAGAATGCCTAGCAGTGAGAGATACAAGACTGCACTTTAGAAGAGAAAACAGGAATCAACATACAGGCTTAAAGTTAAAAGTCACTTGTATTATCAAAATATTAAGCTAAGATTCACTAAGCTTTGGTAGGTGCAAAGTATCATTCCAAGAACCTTATAAACTTTCACTCACTCAATACTCACCACACCTTCAAGAGATAGGAATTATTACTGTGCCAATTTTACAAATGGGAAAACTAAGATTCAGAGAGGTTAAGTAACTCACCCAAGGTCATGATAACTAGTGAAGCTAGGGCTCAGACACTCTTATTTCAGAAACTGGCCTTTAAATAATCTGCTAGTTATCTACCCCTTCCTCTAAATATGCACAGAGAGAGAACAGAAGGCCAACACAGTGACAAGGGAGCAGAAGATGGAAACAGTGAGGAGGACAGAGGACCCGCAATTAGAACGATACATGCAGAGTCAGGCTCCAACAGACTGAGAACCATGACTCTTAACTAAAAGGGATGTAAGAGAACATTTAGTGTCAAAGAAATGAAAATCTCTGTATAATAAAAATCCAAACCACTGAGCATAGTCTGAGCAATATTCAATTTGAGAAAATTCTACTATAATGAAATAATTTGAACACTCTCCTGAAATTTGTTTCTATTAAGAAGTCTGATCCAAAGCTCATTCTCTTACTGTCCTTTCCAAAAAAAAAAAAATTAAGTAACTACTACTAGCCCCGGACTTACATACATAAACTAATTTAATCCTTAGCACAACTCAGAAAGCAGACATTATTTTTCATGTTTTATAGATGAAAAACATCATTATAATCTGTTTAAATAATCTGCTCAATCACAGGTAAACGGACCTCACAGTTAATATTCTTTCCAATCTATAAGAGTCACAGAGAGGAAAAAAAAAAAAAAAAGAGTCACAGAGAGCACTAAAGCAGGTTTTCTTACCACTGGCCTGAATGCTTTTTTCCTAGATTTAAGTCAAAAATCTATGCTTTCAAAATATGCATTTGCTTTAAATTTTTCCTATCTAAAATTATTTTTTATTAAAACATTTTAATTTTTTAAACTGCAACCTTGACAGTTTTCTAATTTTTAACTTCACATGATCTTTAAAAATAACATTTAAAATTCACCTCATTGTTTGTTGCCTGTACCCGTGTTATGCTAAGATCTTAGTCATCTGAAAGTTTCATGCTTCTCTTCCTGATCCTTAACAAAGACACAAAAATCTCTCCTTAGCAATATATTCTTGTGTAGATACCTATTTAGGATGGAATGTATCCTTTAACAATTTTACTTTTTCTTGAATGCATGCCCTTTCTGCTCCCAAACTGTATAAACTCACTCCTGTCTGTCCAATTTATTGTGCCTATTTTAAATCATCATCAGAATACTGAGCCATAAAAATATACGAAACACCACATGTGGTTGAACTGACTGTCCTAAGGTATAAAACAGTGAAAAAGCATGGGCTTCAGAGTCAGATCTGAGCCCCTAACCTAGCTTTGACCCTGAGTGGATCACTTTAACTTCTCTTAGCCTCAATCATCTCAGGTATAAAACAGAATACCATCTGCTTGAAAGACTTATAGTAAGGATTAAGTGAGAGATACATGAAGTACCTAGTATCAATAGCTGTGGCAGTGAGAAACATTTACACAAAATCATTTCTCTCCTCATGAGACTGACTTCAAAAAGGAAGGGCTATGTGCCAAACATTTCTGATTTACCAACTCACTCACCACCCAGCAGTTTTGGTAAGCAGGTTTCTAATGCTGTCGTCTAAGAAGGCATCTGCCACACTGCCCCATGTGAAAGACAATCCAGGTCTTTTTCCTGATCTTAATCTCCAGCACTAAGTCACAGATAATTTCCCTTTGAGCATGACTCCCAAGCCAGTAATTCACTCACTGTCAACAGTATATGCTTCTTTTTAAGATTAAGTAACAAAAATTTTTGCCTACTATTTTATTACTCTGTCCCTACTCTGTATATTTATTACTATGTAGTGGAAGCACTTAACCAAAAGACCAAGGCTCTGATATCTGTGACAAATACAGCTCAGAGGTACTGTCACAGGAAAAAGATATGAATTGGAACCCACAGCTGCTAAGTCAGAGGCTGAGTTATTAAGTGCTTATTTCACAATGCCAAACATTAAGCTAACTACAGGTGTAGTTTGCTGAACCCCAAAATATGAAAATGACTTCCCAAAGACTGTCAAAAATAATTACTAAGGAGAGGCACTTGGTCAATGAGCAAGTTGAGTAGTAGGGTTTCTTGTATGTCATTGTGCCCAGCATGTATACTCATGAGTATACAAACGTGTCCTGTGCATGTGCAGAGATGACAGAGGAAATGGGATCAAATTCAGCCTAATAGTAAGCTGTGTTATTAGGCTGAATAAAGTACTAAGAAGATGCTTTACTTCAAAAAGTAGACAGGTAAACTGTTGGAAATTATGTAATTATTAGGTAAAATTAACAGTAATTTACAATTACATATCACTTTATAATTTACAAGTTGTTAAATATACATTGGATTTAATAGCCTGAAATAAACTGAATTCTTTTGCCCTCCCATTTCCCCTCCATCAAGGAAGAGCTAAGGAACACTGGATCCAGGAAGATTATAAATGCATAAATCTACACAACACCGTAAAGAATAAAGGAAACGAAGACAGGACCCTGGAGGGGGTCACAGGGATTTAAAGGAAGGAAAAGCCTAGAATGTTAAACATGAGGAAGGCCCAGGGGTCTCAGGAGACTCAAGCAACAGATGGGGCAGTTTGTGTTCACCATGGAAAAGGAGGAGCACACAGCACGTGCTCCACGGTCTAAAACAACATAGGAAGGTCATGACTGAAGAGCTGGAGTCGAACTCTGTGGCTTCTGAGAACACAAGTCGATGACCACCAACCATGGCTTCTGAATGAACTCAAAATTCAAGGTTCAAAATTCTGGTTACAATGGAGGGCATCCTTGGCCCTTGGAAATTTATCAAAGGTCATTTGAGGAGCTGCAATTTTACACAGTGGTAGACTCCTGGGAAACATCTACTCCATCAATCAAGTGTAAGATCTCACAATCGTGGAAAAGGAGTTTCCGAGCGGGGACGAGCGCTATCGATGGGAAGCCGACACCTGGGCCATCTCCTGGAGATTCCTGCTGAAAGGATGGCAAGTGCTTCTCCAGAGAAAGCACTTGCCTGGGTATGACTCAGGGCCGGGCAGGAATTCACACTATGAATCCGGGTGGTGGGAAGGCGGAGAAGTATGCCTACAAAGATCAAAGAGCCAGGAATGGAAAACACACTACAAACCTTCCCACTGGGCAGGCTGCCTCCCCACAGACAGGAATTAATCAAGGAGACAAAACAACACCCTGGATGCCAGCAGCACAGGCAAAGCAAAACAGAGAAAAAGAGAAAGAAAAGAAAAAGTGTGATTAAGTACATACGTAACAAGGAGCAGCAGAGACAGGCCAAAAAAGAAAGAGGAAAAGGAGCAATGTTCACACCAAGGCGGGTGCTGGCAGCTCCCCCTGATGCTTCTCTAAAGCACTACAAGTTGCCTCATCTCAGCTGCCAACTGCACCATCCAAATGACAAAGGAGAGACTCGGCCTAAGTGTGAGACTGCTATTGCTGGGGTGAAGCAGGATTACTGTCGGGGTGACTCACTGAAATGTACTGGCAGTGAGTCATGCCTTGAGATCAAGTCTCTGAAATTCTGCCTGCTTGCAGATGAATTTAGGGATCTTAAGAGGTGAGGGATTACTCAACGAAGATTTTAGCCTATCTTAAAAAAAAAAAGGCATTTCTTCTTCCAAGAAAAATGGGAAACTCTCAGATACAGGAGCACTGAATTACCAGGAAGAAAAGAGTCTGCTTGTGGGTTGGGAGGCCCTAGAGTCCCTCTAATAAAAAAGGGAAAGATAGGGAAATTGAGAACTTGCAAAGCACCAGCAAGTTTCCCTTTAGTAACAGGGAACAGATGCCCCACAAAAGCAGGAAACATTAACTGAGGATAAGGAGTAGAATGTTTTCTTGACATACCCAAAGGAAACCCACTCCCAGAGGAGATGACCTTAAAGACTGAGGACTCAAGAGGTTCTAAGACCTGGAAATTGAGCCACACTCAGAGACCTCACACCTACTCAAAAACAAGGAAGTAAAGAAACCCTAACAGGTAAACTGAATAATAAGAAAGGCAATCCTTACCCAGTGAGACCAGGTTCCCATAATTCTCTAACATCACTTCTCTGTAGAGAGCCCTCTGAACAGGGTCCAGGCATCCCCATTCCTCTCGGGTAAGGTGCACAGCCACATCCTCGAATGTCACAGATTCCTGAAATAACACAGCCTGGCTGCCCTGGCGAAGGCGGCCACCACAGCATCACGGCCAGAGAACAAAGATGACACAGAGGGTCTGCAGTGTGCATTTACGTTGGAAAGAGGGAGAACAGAGGAGCATCCTGGAAATAGGTTCCACAACCCTTTAACATCTAATAAGCACCCATGATGGCACAAAGGATAAAGGAACAGTGTTTTCTGGTGGTATTGGGGAGACGGAAAGGTGGTTTCTGTGAAGTCCGGGTCTCTGAGGATGACAAGCACCCAACCTGGGATCTGCTACTAAAAAAAGATCTCCAGGCAAGGCTTATGGATGGGATGAGGAAAAGGGCCACGCTCAATCAGCAGCAACAGTCCCTGAGGAAAGCAGAGGGTTCCTCAGCTCACCTGGTACCTGGCTGTCAGGAGCGCAGCTGCCTGGTCTCCTGGGCTTCCCTCGTGGGGAAGAGAAGACACCTGGGGAACAGGTGGAGCTGAGGGAGGAGAAAGGAGCCAAGAGTGAGAGCAGCCCTTCCCAGGGCGCCCTCACAAAAGAGAGTCAGTGGGACCCTTCTTCACATTGACATTACAGTAAAACCAACGCATGCTTATCGGATATTGAGTTTGTCCTGCACCATTTCAACACCTGCACATCCTCCTTCCACATGTTTAGACCCATGATTCAGGATTTTATTATGAAATCTCATATTACACTATATCCCCATGTCATGATATAAATGTCATGTCAAAAAAGTGAGCACCGTTACCTGTTTTGCAGATGGGCAAAGCCAAGCATAAAGGTTTGCAGTGATTCATCCAAGGCCATGGTTATTTAGTAGACTTCTGACCCTCTCCCAGACACTGCTCTGTAAACTTTTGAGAATGAGCACCGTCTCTGCAACCAGTGTGTAAAGCCCCCAAGAATAAGGAATGGTCATCTGTTTCCTCATAATCCTTTCTACACTTGAACAATGCCCCACAGCACTCAAAAGACCATGGCATCCGGTTGGTGTTCCTGACACAGGTTATTTCAGGCATGGCAGTTGGCCACAAGTGAATCTCAGACAAACTTCATACAAAACAAAGGGAGTACAAGACAGATCAATCTATCTCTGTAACACATAAAGATGTTATTTTACAGTCTGTATGTGATATGTATACATTGCTCCAAGCCCTGGGCTTAACCAAGGAATTAAGTGGTTGCTTTCTTGATCAAAATTAGAGCAGTCAAAAACACTGCAGCTGGTAAAGCACAAAAGGTCAAGGAGGGAAGAAACTAAGTTAAAGCAACAGGGGTAGAGACAGGCCCTAAATCTAAGAGGAAGTGAAAGCGAGGCAAGGACTGTGAGGGGCGGCAAAAGCACCATTTCTTCTAACTTATTCTGAATGTGAAACCTGGCATGAAGTGAAAATTATATGAAAGAAAAAAGCCTGAATAGAGTGAGTGAAGACCACTCTGCCTATTAAAGAAAGACAGGCTGACCTCCACAGAGGGGCCCTGATCAGGATTGAATTGAGCCACATCTGTCCCTCCCTTCTAGACCTCCCTCTAGGGGCCATCCTCTCACTGAAGCCCCTGGCCTCTCTCATCCCAGGCCCAGGAGCCTCGCTACACTCCCATTCTCCTGGATGGAAGTGTTCTCTCTGCCTTACCCCCAGTGAGTCCCTGTTCCATGTCGGTGTCCTGCAAGAACCGAGGCTCTGGGGACAGACCGTCAGAGTTGGTCTCCAAGGACTGAAACTGAACCACTGGAGATTCTGCTGCTTCCTGGGCTGATATCTCCTCCATCTCTGTTCTGGAGGACAATGACCATCACTGTGGAGTGAGACGAGGAGAAATTATTATAACAAGTTAAAATAGCCCATCATTTGACACCCTCAGGACTTAACAAAGTGTCTTAGACACTGTAGACACAGTGAAAATAGTTAATAACAATTAACCACCTAAATATAGAGCAGAAAAAAAAATTGACATCATTCACTTTCATATTTAAGAACTATGTCATATGGTCCAAGTTTGCAGGTTTATTTGAACTCCACTAATTCTGAACTTGTGGAATTTTTTAAAATAAAGACAAGACAATTTAACAGTGTAGAGATTTCTGTGGAAATTCAAAATACCTGAAATTTACAAACTTCTTTCAAGGCTCAAGTGTGTACCCAGAGAAACACATTAATTCTCGAGAAATACATTATCACTTGTTATTTTTTAAAGCAGGACCCTAAGGAACTACTTGTTAAACACTCTGTCAGCCCATTCTGAACTACTGAGTGGCCCTGAGTGAGTGAGTGAGTGAGTGAGTGAAAGTCGCTCAGTCGCGTCTGACTCTTTGCGACCCCGTGGACTACACGGGATTCTCCAGGCCAGAACACTGCAGTGGGTAGCCTTTCCCTTCTCCAGGGGATCTTCCCAACCCAGGGATTGAACCCAGGTCTCCCGCATTGCAGGCGGATTCTTTACCAGCTGAGCCACAAGAGAAGACTGAAGACTAAATTCCACTTTGGGGGTCAGACCCTTTGATAACTCAGACTAGGTGGGCAGGCCTCTTCCCACGACCCTGACAGTAACCCAGGGAACGGCTGAGACTCAAACAGGTCGGACTCGTTGTCCTTCACACCCAAGGACGCGGTAGGGCCCCGTACCCCTTCCACACCCTCAGAAAGGGCCCTCACGCCCTGCCCTCAGGAGGCCTCGCCCGGCGCTACCCTCCTCCCACTTCTCTGCTCTGTCAAGAAACGGTCCCAAAAGGGCGAAGCGGGCCCCGGAGACCCATCTCACAGCAGGCCACGATCACTGGGTCCTGAAGGCCGGGCCCTCCGTCCGCCGGGCGTCGGGGCGAACCTTGACTGAAGAGAAACGGGTTGTCGCGCCCCGGCCCTGCGCGCTTCTGGGGACGGGAACCGCCGTCAGCCGGAGCCGGGAGACTCCTGCTCCTCCCCGGGAGGCTAAACAAGGCGCCGATCCAACGCGACCTCGGGACGGCTTCCGGGGACTCACCAGGGTGGAGGGGCGGGCAGACCGGCTATCGCGTCGCGAACACCCGTGCTCTCCAAGCCGCCCCAGGGTTTTGAGGGGTCTCTCTAGACTGCTCGGAGGCTGCGCTTCTCGCTGGCACTTCCGGAGGCGGAGTCCGACGGCGGGGGCAGGGCGGGCCCCGGATGAGGGCCCCGGATGAGGGCCCCGGATGAGGGCCCCGGATGAGGGCCCCGGATGAGGGCCTTAGGAAACCCAGGCTCGTTTCCGAGGCTTTTACCGTGTCCTGCTGCCGGTCTCACACTCCTGCTAACCCTGACTGGCCACTCTAGCCAATACACCGATAGTGATCGCAGCCGACCCGGATTTGGGAAGGCGTCCCCGCTGGCCCATCCCTGGCACCAGCCAACACTCAAGACTCATCGCAGGGTGGTGGCCCTTGGCTTGGGGGTGGCTGGGTAGGAGGAATGAGGACGAATGGCCGACCTAGTGGTCCGACTTCCATGAATCAGCGGGTCGGGAACTAGCTCAAGGGTACAAACCACGCTGATTAAAGCCAGTGTTGAAGGCGTTTCGGTAATGTGAGGACCTCAGAAAATCCTAGGATTGAAACATAGCACGATTCTTGGGGGAAGGTAGGGTCACTGAGCAATGTGGAGTGGGAGAGAGAGACTGGAAAAGTGTTGTGTTCCTGATGGAAAGGGCTGTGCAGAAGCAAGGATGGATACAGCAGGAACATGTGAACAGGCAGTCCCAGGGCTGGCACAAAAGCCCCTGGGGCATTGTGATCTCCTGGATCCTTAGGGAATGTGATGTCCTGTGGTTGAGCTAGGTCCTCCAGGACCTGGCAAATTTCCTAAAGAAAATAAACAGTGATTTGAAAGGGACTTTAGATACTTTTCCTTTGTTTAGGCTCACAAATCAAATATTACCGTTTAATGCTGTTTGACATTTCCGATTAACAATAAGAAAAATCAAGTGTGACAGTCTCCGTGCTTTTTCAAACTACATGACTCTCTGGGAAACTCATATGCCTTCCCTTCTTTTCCACCTTGAGTGTCTCAGGGATGTAAAACAACTTCTTTCTATGACATAGTTTTTCTAGCCTACAGTATTTGTCACAATGAAGTCAGCATCACAGATAGGAAATTCGCTGTTTTTAAAAAAATAAAGCACTGCTTAGTCAATTGCTTGTTGGACAGCTCCAGTTGAAAACTTTTTGTGTGTTGAACAGAACTATACCTCCTGTTGATGTCCTGTTGTTGTTCCTATTGAGATCCCTGAGACAATAGATGACAAATTACTTCCTGCTTGTCATTAACTACTTAGTAAGAACTAGGTCGTTTGCCCAATGGGCAACAAGTCAAACACTGAGAAAGTGAGATTTGCAGCAGAGAGTTCGTTCACAAGACAGCCGAGTGAGGACATAGGAGAACAAATCTCAGATCTACCTCCCTGTAGGTGAGGGGCGTGAGATTTTTATGGGATAAAGAAGCAGGGGTCTTAGGTGTGGAGAAAAGTGAGGTAATCAGTGTTCTACACAGGCCTATCAGTTACAGGGTTCATAATGGGATTCGTGTTACAAAATACTAGCACTTAGGGACTTCCCTAGTGGTCCATTGGTTAAGACTCCTCGCTCCCAATGCAGGGTGCCTGGGTTCGATTCCTGGTCAGGGAACTAGATCTCACATACCACAGCCAAAAGTTCAAATGGCACAACTAAAGATCCCAAGAGCTGCAACTAAAATTTGGAGCAGCCAAATAAAAATAGTATAAGGTGAATAGTAAACGGTGTAATTACTGTGATTGCACTTGACAGCCAAAATGCCTCAAATTGTAATTCCACAATCATTACTCAGAAAACTCCCTGGATACATTAGCCAAGCTCAGAATCTTATAACTATTTAGTACTGGAAAGAAAAATTGCTCCCCAATGAACAAATATTTGAAAATACCATTGACTGAAAAAAATGCACAACTTAAAAGTTGAGATTTATGTTTCATTTGATGGACAAAACTGGGAACCTAAAGCCTGGAAAACAGCCTCTCAGGTGACTCTGAGGGACTGCTCTAAAGATGTTAGGAAGAAGCCAGATTATGTAGGACTTTGCAACAAAAATCAGGTAGCCAGAACATCAAAAGACTACTGTTAATTAAAGAAAACCAGACATCTCACATTAATGATTTTAGTGCCCTTCTATACGTGAGAAGATGGAGTCTGGGCTCCTTGAAATCATTACTTTGATATGCACCTTAACTTTCCGAGGCCACCTTAACTTTTTGCCCATCCCAAATCCCCTCAGGGTGCACAGTTGGGGTCGCTGCTGTGGCTGCAGGTTTGCTGGCCACAACTTCTTTTGTTTACTGCTCTGGCAGGCAACCTTTTGCCACACGACCATTCAAGCAGCAATACCCAATCAGGGTACCCAGAGAAGCAACCACTTTGGTTTTGTGAAACCACAGTGCATCCTTAACTTCACTTTGATCTATCTACATTTTTGCCTCAGTTCCTCTGCCATAGACACAGACACACAATCACTATTATTGTTTGATAATACCTAGAATTATTACGATACCTGCCATCAATAAGAAAAAATAGAATTGTGTAAGTTCCTGAACAGGAAGTACTGAGTGAAATTTAACCCCCGTTTTCCCCGCCGGAAAAAGCTGAGCTAAGAAAAGACATCCCCGAAGCCCGAACCATGAATTGGGGAACACGGACCAAAGTCCTCCGGCTTTCCTAGCGAGGACCACCCCCGCATCCCCCAGAGCGCAGCGCAGACCCGGAAGGCAGGTGTTGACGCACGTCCGGTTTTTGTGACACTCTGGGTTCTGGCGAACAGAGGGACGGCGACCACGTCCACTGCCCTTTGATCCCCAGAGTCACCTCCCTTTTCTGTCCCAGCACCCCAGGCTTCTCCGGGGTTCACGGTGAGACGCGGGTCCGGCCGGGGCGGAGGGGCGGGGACGCAGGTGGACTTGTAAAACCGTGTTCCGCGATCCCGCTCACCACGCCCGTCTCCGAACGGGGTGGAGGGTCGTGTCCCTCTCCTTGGTCCCAGCCTCCGCCGCAGAAAGCGCCGTCTCCCTGCAGAGACAGCCGCGGATCCTTGGTTTCTGGATTGGGATGAGATACCTCTGGGTCCGAGAGGCGGCAGCCTGCGTGCCCCATCCTCGTCCCTGGTTTTCACCCCCAAGGGGTCAGGGACCGATGACGCTAGTCTAATTTCTGTGCTGCCTGGCTTACCCAATTTCCTTTCCTTCTGGTGAGGGCTTTTTTTCCTGGTGATCTCCAGATGTAAAATGAGAAAGACCCCAGAGGCTACCAAGATCCACGTTTTGTTTTGTTGTTTAGCGGACAAGTTTGTTAAGCCTCGTGTTTACAGATCATCCGCTCACCCTCAAATCCACCACCGTGAATGGCGGTGATTAAAGAATGTTTGACGCCTAGTGAATAAAGTGATTCGAGTGCAACAGGAGAAGGTTACATACACTTCACGCTCTTCCTTTCAGTTTCTGAAGTTTCTGAAGGGTTTTTTAAAGGAGTGATTTCTGATAGAACAACAGGTGAATTTTTCAATTGTGGGAGGAAAATGTGCTTGACCCGGAGGGCTGAGTAGTGAAGAGAGTTTGTGGTGGTGCAGTGGAGAATGCGTTGGGTCACTTGAAGACTGGTCACCACCAGCCTCTCTCTGTCACTGATTTGCAGGATGCTCTTAGACAAACACAAAGTCTGGAATTGATCCTAAGTAAAATAAACTGTCTCCAAGGGCCCACCCAACTAGGACATTCATTGATAAAGGGAAATTAACTGAAAAATCCAGCTTGACCAAACCTAATGCCCTATCTCCATTTCCTGAAGCACCGCCACTATGCACAAAGTCACTGTTACTAATGAGAGACACTGTTAAGTGGCAGAGGCCCAAAGAAAACACTTATACAGGCCTGTGCTAAACAGATCATTTGCAATCAATAAAAAGTTATGGAGAATGCATGGTAAGCAAATTAATGAAACCTTAATATTTTTGGAGAAATAGGTTGGTTACACTCTGTGGTGGCAGACATAAATAACTTACCATGGGCACATAATTTATTTTCCTATTTTAAACCTGTGCTGCTGTTAACATTTCTCCTATTCTTACTCAGGTATTTTGTAAATAACCTGACAATATAATAGAATCTCTTAATTTCTAAATGACAAGCCCTTCCAAGTATTGAAATGCCATGCCTATAATGAATTTGTTGAACATTCTACAAATGGGCAAAAAATGTTGACATTATATTCATTTAAACAAGTATTTTGAAAAATATCTCCTGGTTGCAAGTAACTATGTTAAGGGCAACTTCAAGAAATGCAGAATAAAGCCCAGTCTTTCTACTGCTTCTTGCCTAGAATATGAGCAGGAAAACACTCCAGGAAGGCCTGACCAGGTCCTGATCTCAGCCCTGTATCTTTTGAGTTTCCCTTGCTTATAGTCTTCATTTTGATTCACTGGGAGGGAAGGCCTCTAGGAATGTGTTATTCCACATACCCCACTTTTAAATCTTTGATCCTATCTCAAAAACCAAGATTTCTTCCCCTTGATCTTAAAATACCTGAAATAAGATTTTTCAGATGATAGATCACTAAAACTGAAAGAAAGTGAACAAAGAAAATATAATAGTCGGAAGATGAAGAGCAGCAACAAGAATGATGACAGAAAATATAAATGCTACAAGATGACTATCAGGAAAGCTTGAATGGGTTTTGATACTTTTTTAAAAATAAATATTTTCATTTTTCTCCTCGGTGCTCCAGTGGTGGTCTTGAACACCAGACTTCGGCGATCACTTTGTAAGGCTGACTAGATGGCAGTGTAGCAGCATAGTTAGGAGCCTGAGCTTCAGACTTGGGTTTGAGTACTGGATCCACTACACTATGTTGTTAGACACATTATTTAATCTTTCTTAGCTTTTAAAATAGGAATAATAACTGTGTGCTTCAATAGGTTTCCGTGAGAATTAAATGAACTATGTATGCAAGGTACCAAAACTGCCTGGCACACAGCTGACATGAATGAGAGTTATTCAGCATTGACATGTCACACCATTGGATGTCACACCATTGGATTTCATGGATGAGGTGTAAGCCCCATAGCAATACAATATTACCTTTTAATACTGCTATTAAATTTTTCAACCCCCGAAGGATACCAAAAACGGAGCTCATAAAACATATAGGACAAAAAGGGAAGTCCTGCAGACAGACCCTGTTTGGATTAAGTGAGCCAGTTCTTTGAACCTGAACAATGACTGCTGAATCCAGGAAAGTTGCAGATTTGTCTCCTCAGGCTACCCAAGACGTGAAAGGCATAGTGATAGTAAAAGTGGAGGAGGAAGGGGAAGACGATGAAGAAGACCATTTTCCAACAGAAAGAAGTAACATAGAGTTATCACCCCAATTTCTTAGTCGTTCCACAACTATGAATGAGAGAGCCTTGTTATCATCATATTTAGTGGCGTATCGAGTAGTAAAAGAGAAAATGGCTCACAGCTGCTGAAAAAATTATTCTCCCAGCATGTATGGATATGGTACGTACCATCTTTGACGATAAATCAGCTGACAAATTAAGAACTATACCTCTTAGCGATAATACAATATCTCATCGAATCTGTACTATTGCAAAACATTTAGAAACAATGCTTATGACACGGCTACAGTCTGGTATCGATTTTGCAATCCAACTTGATGAAAGCACTGATACTGCAAGTGGTCCCACACTCTTGGTATATGTCAGATATGTGTGGCAAGATGATTTTATAGAAGATCTGTTGTGCTGTTTAAATTTAAGTTCACAGGTAACCGGATTAGATGTATTCACTAAATTAGAAAAGTGCGTTGTTGGTCAATATAAATTAAACTGGAGAAACTGTAAAGGAATCTCAAGTGATGGAGCAGCAAATATGACTGGGAAACATAGCAGACTTCTTGAAAAATTGTTAGAAGCCACCCACAACAACGCTCTTTGGAATCATTGTTTTATTCACCGAGAAGCTCTGATATCCAAAGAAATTCCGCCAAGCCTAATGGACGTATTGAAAAATGCAGTGAAAATTGTTAATTTTAGTAAAGGAAGCTCATTGAACAGCCGACTTCTTGAAATACTTTGTTCAGAGATTGGCGAGACCCACACCCACTTACTGCTTCATACAGAAGTTCGTTGGTTGTCTCAAGGAAAAGTATTGAGCAGAATATATGAACTCAAGCATGAGATCTACATTTTTCTCATTGAAAAGCAATCTAATTTGGCAAATATTTTTGAAGATGATGTTTGGGTAACAAAATTGGCATATTTAAGTGATATTTTTGGCATTTTAAATAAATTAAGTTTGAAACTACAAGGGAAAAACAATGATATATTTCAGTATCTTGAACACATTCGAGGATTCCAAAAGATGTTATTGTTGTGGCAAACTAGACTTAAAAGTAATCATCCTAGCTACTATATGTTCCCTACATTGCTGCAACACATTGAAGAGAACATTATTAATGAAGAATGCTTAAAGGAAATAAAATCAGAGATATTAATACATCTCACTTCTTTGTCTCAAACCTTTCATCATTACTTTCCAGATGAGAAATTTGTATCATTAAAGGACAATATCTGGATAAAAGATCCATTTGATTTTCAAACCCCAGAATCGATCATTGACTTAAACTTGGTGCCTGAAGAAGAGAATGAATTATTGCAGCTCAGTTCGTCATTCACACTGAGGAATTATTATAAGACATTAAGTTTATCAGCATTCTGGATTAAGATTAAAGAGGAATTTCCATATACTAACACATATATATGGAATTTAGAAAGATGGTAACGATAACCCTATATGCAAAACAGAAAAAGAGACGCAGAGGTATAGAACAGACTTGTGGACTCTGTAGGAGAAGGCGAGGGTGGGATGTTTCAAGAGAACAGCATCGAAACATGTATATTATCTAGGGTGAAACAGATCACCAGCCCAGGTTGGATGCATGAGACAAGTGCTCGGGCCTGGTGCACTGGGAAGACCCAGAGGGATCGGGTGGAGAGGGAGGTGGGAGGGGGGACCGGGATGGGGAATACATGTAAATCCATGGCTAATTCATTTCAATGTATGACAAAAACCACTGCAATGTTGTAAAGTAATTAGCCTCCAACTAATAAAAATAAATGGAAAAATAAATAAATAAAGAGGAATTTCCACTGCTAAGTAGAAAGAGTATATTGCTATTATCACCATTCACATCTACCTATTTGTGTGAACTAGGATTTTCGATCTTGACACAATAACAAAAAAAAGAAATAGACTTAATAGTGCACCTGACATGCGTGTGGCCTTATCTTCGTGTGTGCCTGACTGGAACGAACTGATGAACAGGCAAGCACACCCATCACATTAAATACAATCTTTATGAACTCAGGTTTTTGTACTTTCATAGGTATTCTTTGTGTATTGTATTTAAGTATTAATAAGATGATGATTAGAATTTACTAGGTTTCATTTTCCTATATAGTTAAATGTTGCTCCTTGACATTTGTTTGTTACATGAATATATGCATATGCAGGATAATGATGTAAAATATATTTCTATGAATCACCATCAATTTTTTAAAACAGTGCTCTTAGCACTCTTAGTTTTATTCTCCAATCTGTCACCTTTGCTGCTGCTGCTGCCTTGCTTCTTGTAGGCAAAGCCCCTTTCAGGTTCAGTTTCTCGCCATCTATGTGCCTATGTGCTCTTCCTTGCCTGTTTTTGGCTTGTTGGCTGTGTTGGGGGGGTTTTTTGGCAGTGCCATAGAGATTGTGGGATTCTAGTTCCCTAACCAGGGATCAAACGCAGGTCTCCTGCATTACAAGGTGGATTCTTAACCACTGAACGACCAGGGAAGTCACAGTTCCTGTTTGTTTTTGCTATTATTTTCTGTTTTAAAAAATTCAGCTTTATTGAGATTTGATTTACTTCTAGTAATATTCACCCCTTATGGTGTATGGTTTGGTGTATGGTTGAGTCTTGACAGAGGTATACAACTGTGAAATCACCCCTACAAGCAAGATATAAAACATATCCTTCGTCCTCAAAAGATCTTTCATGGCTTTGTTGTCGGTCCTTCCCTTGTACTACTGATGGTTTTGTCTTTTCCAGAATGTCATGTATTTGGCTTTTTTCTCTTGGCATAATGCTTTTGCAATCTGTCTATATTATCATATGTATCAGTAGTTTAATAGTGAGTACTGTTCCATTGTGTGGATGTGTATCAATTAGTTTATCAATTCTTCAGTTGATAGACATTTAGTTTTTTCAATTTGTTTACTATTATGAACAAAGCTGCTATAAATATTTGTATACAGGAATTTGTGTGGACATATATTTCTTTGGTGACAGCTAGCAGTGGGATTATTGGCTCATATGATAAATATAGATTTAATTTTATGCATTTCCTCCAGCTATGTGTGAAATTTATATCTGAGTCAGCATTTTGTATTGTCAGGTTTTTATTTTAGCTATTGTATTAAGTTTAATAGTATCCCATTATGGCATTAATTTCCATTTCCCTAATGGATAATCATCTGAGCATCTTTTCACATGTTTATGGCTGTCCATGTCTTCCTTTGGTGAAGTTCAAATCTGTTGCACATTTTAAAAACTCAGGTGTCTTATTCATGAATAAGAATTATTTTTAGATATTCTATATACAAATGATCACACCTGTGTTTTACAGATATTTTCTCCCAGTCTGTGGCTTCTCTTCATTATCTTAACAGTGTTTAAAGAGCAAAATTTTAAAATTTTGATCAACTTCAGTTATCAAGTTTTTTTTTTTATGTGGTTCATTCTTTGTGTGTTCTTCCTAAGAAATTTTTGCCTAATCCACGATCACAAATTTGTTTTCATCCAGCTGTTTTATAGAAGTTTTAGATTTTACATTTAGGTCTATGATGCATTTTGAGATGATCTTTGTAAATGGTTAAAGGAGAGTAAAGAGACATGACAATTAAATGCAATGTATTACTTTGGATTGAATGTTTCACTAGGGGGAAAAAAAGCTATAAAGGGCATAATTAAGTCCATTGTCAAAACGAACGCCCACCCCAGGGACCTAACAGAGGTCTGCCGACTTTACCTCAAGAGCCCAGTCAAGTCTGGTAAATGCAAATGGAGGCGGGGCGTCCAGTAAACACACGTGCCCGGCGCTCGTCCCTCCCACTGCCCGCTGCCCTGCCCCGGGGCCTCGAGGCAGGAATCGCTGCTAAAGGCTGCCCAAGCGCGGCCAGACCTGCCTCACATGCACCCAACCTGGACTCACGCAGAAGTGGTGGTGAGGTGCCTGGCCCTGGCTTAGAGGTCCTGAAATCGAGGATTTTTGATATGAGAGATGGAGTTACAGGTGAGTGATGGCAGAACGTCTAACAGACCTTCATATAATATTTCACATACATCTGTGAAACGCACCTAGAAGAATGCCTCACATATAGGAAGTGCTCCACACATGTCTGTGAAAGAAGTAGGAAAGGAAGAAAGAGAGGAAGGGTTATAAATGAGTGATTTCAACTAAATGAGGGATTGTAGAGCAGAGGGAGGCAGAAGTAACCAAATAAGGCTTAATAAAAGAGCTGAATACAAGACAGACTATAAAGTGAGCGTTCAGAACCGGCCATCTGAACATGGCCTATGAAAAGACTTTACTTCTGAGTCACTCAAGCCTCCCTTCTGCTGCCTTTGCCTTTGACCTCTCTAAAGTCCTGTATTCAGGCATACTGTGCTTCAGCCTAGCCTAATGTAATTGTTCCAACCATCCCCCCCTCCAGTGGCAAATCCCATTTCAAAACTAACACCTTTACTTCTTAATTTTTCCTTTAGATTCTAAGATGAAAGAAAAAAAGAATGAAAAGGCTTCAAGACAGAAAATGGTGGGGGAAAGTGAAATTTCCAGGACATTATTAGGAGAAACCAAACAGCATGCCAGTGGTAATGGGCAAGGCTGTGAAAATTCAGGCAATGAGGAAACGCTTAGAGAGACCTGGGAAAATAACCCAGAAACAATATTTCTGTTGTCTTCATAAACGACACGGGAGAATGGGAAGAGTTCTGGCAGAGCCCCTGTGCCTTCAGAAGACACAAGCCAGAAGCCCTACCAGTGTAAGGGATGTGAGGAAAGCTCTAGCCAGAGCAGACCTGGGAGTCCACAGCCAGGAGACACTCCCAAGTGGGCAAGAATAGCTTTAGTCCTGCTCATGCCTCACCATGCCCCACACGAGGGAGAGGCCACATCACTGCCTTGACTATCAGAAAACCTTCCATGCACCACCCAGAAGGTGCATCAGAGAATCCACACTAAAAAAAAAAAAAAAGCACAAAATGTAGTGACAGTGGCAAAAGCTTCATACAGAGCTCAGTACCCTCATCACCATCAGGTGACGACACAGGAGAAACCCCAGTTCTTGTGGGGAATGTGGGAAAAGCTTCAGGTAAAGCTCACGCCTGGAAGAGCACCAGAGGAACCAGCCATAGGAGGGACAGACCCTAGAGTGCAGTGTGTGTGAGGCGGCTTCCAACCTCAGCATAACCTTTGTCTGCACAGGAAAGAATCCCTGCAAATCCTGGATGTATGGCACCAGCTTACTTTTACATTACAGAATCTACCTGGGGGAGGACCCTCACCAGCATCAGGCATAGAAGAGGTCTGAGGGCAGATCTTTTACCTGAGATACCAGAAAACTCACAGGTCTGTGATGGTTCAACAAGGAAAAATCCTGCACGATTAGATTACCTTGGTCATAAACTACACTGCCCTCCAAGGGGTGAGGGGAAGGGCTGACTACGAAGGGGGGTCTGTGGAGCAGAAGGACCCGCCAGAGGACGACAGGAGGACACAGGGGCAGGGAGGGGGAGTCGCGGGTGAGGGGTGGGCTCTTTAGAATCCCAGGGCCGGGGAGAGGATGCAGTCTCCCTGGGAGCTGGGCGGCCGGCACTGCCCTCCAGGGGCCAAGATAGGGAGGCTGAGGGGTGAATCTGATTTCAGGTGGCCTCAGCCTGCAGAGGCTTGGAGCAGGGTTTCAGCTCCTGAGGTCATGGAATGACAGAGCTGAATCCTGGCCACTAGACCAGTGGCTGGTGACAAGGCCCTGGCCCTTTGGTTTTGCAGAAAAGAATTCCTACAAAGAGGGAAAGCAGTGAAACAGTGTTTATTAGGAGGAAAGAGTACAGTACATGTGGATAGACACACAATGGGCTCGGAGAGAGTCACACCTTTGTGGTAGTTTAGATCACTATTATGGGACATTTCTTACAGTTTTCCTTTGGTCAATCATTTTGATTTGCCTTCTTCAGAGTCCTTATTTGGTGTATCTCAAGGTCTTCCCTCATGTTCACAGGCATCTCTCAGCCAAGATGGATTCCAGCAAAGAGGCCTATAGGTAGCTTGGCATCACTCCCCTTTTAACCTCCGAGGAACTTTCTAGTCAGGAAGTCTCCTTGACATCAAAAGTGAGAAATATGTGGTCGCTTACCTTCTATCTGGGCAGGTCCCAGCTTCCTCTCTCTCGATTGTCCTGCTGTTCTCATCTTGGAGTACTGGTGCATGGGAAATGAATTTTCAACTGCTCACCCTGGGATGGGGGGCTGCCCATCTACCTACTGCCTCAAATCCACCCCTTGCAAGAGGACTTTACAGGGGGAAGCAGAGGTAGTAAAGAATTTAAAGCAGGAAAATGAGAAAGGTAGTGTTTACACGGAGTGAAATCAGAAAATTGCAAGAGAACTCTGAAGTTTCTGAGCAATTCCAAACTCAAAGGAAAAGCTATCTGACCTATAACAGGAGTGTCTGGATTTACTCGGGGTAGGGGCCAGATGCTGAGATTTTAGGCCTGCAGTGATTCCCACACCAGGATGGTGGAGAGAAGAAGGTGGATGAAGAACAGATTTACACTAGAAGGGAGTGTGAAACTAACTCTGAGCGTTTTGCTTCAGGTCCCTAAAGAAACTGCCCATTCCTGAGAGTTGGAGCAGGTTCTTCTAGGGAGGGGTGGGGCGAGGAAAGCTCTGGTCTGAACTGGGAGCTCTGGGCCGGGACAAGGAAGGGTTCTTTCCTGTACATCTAAAATGCTCATTCTAAGCTCCTGGCTTGAACAGGTTTAAGATAAAAGCATACAATTCTATGGGCCACTTATGCCTAAAACTAAGGTTTTACTTTGCCAACAAAGGTCTGTCTAGTCAAGGCTATGTTTTTTCCAGTAGTCATATATGCCTGTGAGAGTTGGACTATAAAGAAAGCTGAGCACCAAAGAATGGTTGCTTTTGAACTGTGATGTTGGAGAAGACTCTTGAGAGTCTCTTGGACTGCAAGGAGATCCAACCAGTCCATCCTAAAGGAGATCAGTCCTGGGTGTTCACTGGAAGGT